CAGCTAGCCTGGTGGTCCACCACCATATGTTAATGTGTTAAGTGGCAGTGACCCCTTTGTGTTGGTATTAATAAATGCGTGGCCTCCAAAGAGTACGTCTGCGACTCAGTTGAACTCACTACACACCCACTATGCTTGTGATCAACATAATTGGCGTGGCCATAGATTGGGCCCCGCATGTAACGGGTGTTTTTTTTGGAGGGGTCCCCTCCAATAGGAATGTTAATGGGGGGGGGGGGGGGGTATGAAAATCGCACTCTCAAAACTCGGATACAGGGCGCAGTGCAAAGTTGTCAAGCGCATATCTCCACGCTGTCCACATAACGAATGTAACGTGGCCAAGGCAGGCCGAGCTGACGTCTTGTTACAGCGACGACTGTCGGATTCCAGAATGGGCTGGTGTGGTTTTCAGCGCATCGTGGTGTGTTTGGTTTCTACTCACAGTAGTTGTCTTCTAAATCGCTTTAATAATGTGAATGTAATACACATGATACACGATATGAAGCGCTATACAAATCACATTGCGTGCTGTCATTGGCCCAAAATGTGGTCTTCATCGAAATAACGGGGTTTTATTCAAACGCAATGAGGGCGCGGGATGTCAACTACCTCGCGTGGTATACAGGAGGTCGTGGGTTCGATCCCGGTCTTGACGCCTGCTGCTGTATATTTGGAGTTTGCGTGTTCTCCCCGTGGTCGCGTGGGTATTTCTCCGGGTCCTCCCAAGTTTTCTCTCCACGTTTAGAATCAACATCACGCGTTCAGACTATTTGGCTGCCAAAAAATTCCACGCGATATGCCATTCGTTGAGCTATCATGTAGCCAGGTCGCCTCTGAATACAAACTTTATCGCTAAGTGGGCCTAAGCTGGTCAAATAACATCGTAAAACAAAATAGAAATCGCAATTACTGGGGCACCCAAACCTAAATCAGCCCAATGTTTCTAGGAGACACATTGTGTACTCAGATGCACGTGTACCCACACGCATACAGCCCAAAGACAAAGATCCCCCCGTATAGCCTTAACAAGACTGTTGGGGTAAATGCTGTTGGCGAGCACCTATGAAGGCCAGCACGGCACACGAGAAGGTGGCCGCCTTTGTCTCCCTCGAGGCAAAGTTTTACACATCGCACTATGTACTTATTTGAGGCTGAGTAGACCTAGGGGAGGCCCAGGACCAGTTCAGATAATCGTCATTGGTGTTGGCCGTGAGCGGGAATCGAACCCGGGTGGCCGGGTTCGTAGCGCAGTGTAGCGCTCACCGCTACACTTCAGCAAATCGTCGAATCTCCGTACCGCTAGCACTCACTCACACTCATCCGTCGTAAACCGCAGGAACAGAACGCTTTCTGATTCACCCTCTTCTCCACATTTTTATTAGTTTGCATATTTTTTTTTATTGTTGTTGTCGTTTCAAAGTGGCAGTAGCAGATGTCGACATCCACCACAAACCAAACCCGCGCACGCGCACGACCATCACACATTCGATCGAAATACGAACCTAAAACACGTCACAATCATGACATTTTATATATAGATTTGTTTCTGCTCTCCCTCCCACCCACCATCACATAACACCTATATGTATATCTATACAGAGGCTAGTCGCACACGTTCGATGTTGACGACGAATATCAAAAAAACCACACTCGACAGACGCCTGCACTCCCCACAGCGTTGCGTAAATCGCATGGCTGGCTACACAAGAGACACGGGTGTAATCGATTAAGCATCGTTTCTGTTTGCGAATAAACCGCGTTTCTTCACAAGAAACGCGTCGGTTGTGGTTCCAATGTCAACAGCTTCTTGACTGGTGGTTCGAGCGCCCACACGTCACTGCAGATTTGTCGAAGTGAACAGATTACTTTAAAGGTAACCCCCCCCCCCCCTCCACCACCATTTGACATGCCACCTTCGCCCCCTATTATAGGTATTGTTTGTTAATGTACAAACTTTTTTTATATGACGGCCAACTGTCTATGCATGCCCCCTTACTCCAGATAATAGCAGTCAACAATTCACCACTGGTCGAGAGGGCCCAGCCACGCCGGACAGAACGTGTGGCATATTTGACCATACTTCACCACGCTGATCAGTGAAGGTTGGTGGAGGCGGGGGGGGAGCATAGCGCAGAATAATTCTGCTGTACTGCCCTCTGATGCCCATAACGTAGTGTGAAAGTACCGAGTTAAACATTCTGGTCGGTGAATAGGGTGGGCGGAGGAAAGTCGATTCAGCCATTCATGTGCTTGGCGTGAGGAATCTATACGCCAGGTACCACCACCGTTTGTAAGAATACAATACAAAGAGATTTGGCCACTGTCATAAGAATGTGGAATTTCCACCACTGGTCCGGTGAGCCACCAGTGGAAAAGGACAACGCCTCGGTCTACATTTGTTTTGTCTCTGCAATGTAAGTGAGCAAAGGAGTGGGTGCCACCTCCAAGGGTTTCACAAAACCAGGCACAGCGTTCCCGAATCAACCCGGCGTTCAACGTAGAGACTTTCGACGTCAGCGGCCCAGCATCCCAATGTTCTCAGGTGATGCACAGAATAATGCAACCAAATCACGCCTCCTTCACACGAGACCCTCCGCGTAGACATTGCCTGCCACTGACGGGCGAAACACCGATGGCTCTGCAAAAAACAACATTTCTGCAGCCAATCAGAAACGGCGAACAAATAAAATCACCAACACCAAACCTCTCTCTCTTCTATTTTATGGTTTATAAAAGCCCCGTGGGACCCAAACCGACCGCGATTGGCGTCAGCCGTATTTCTCACTGCCGTGCTCGCCGACAACACCCCGGTGGTGGTGCAGCAGCCACTTGAACCACATCCCTTTAGACTTTAAGAGGACGAACACCATTCACGTCCCACAGCCTCGACTCTCACCACCACCCCGAGCAAGAACACCACCATTGAGGCTGTATCTGCTAACGTGAGCCAAAACAAACAAAAAAACCCGAATCCCGACCGGAGCAAAACGCAGTTATGGGCTGGCATCAACGGTGAAGTTGATATACCTCAAAAGTATGTTGTGTTCCTTGGCATTCCCAGAAATAAAAACAAATCTGTAAACCCGATGACTGTACTCGAGAAGATAACGCGTGCTGCCTCCGATTACACACGCTCTGTGTGACCTGCATCAGCGATGCAAAGATCGACATCCACGAGGGGACAGGCGTATGGACGGACGGCGATTGCGGAGACACCGAGATGATGAAGAGGGGATGAGTGGAAGAGATGCGACGCGTTGGATACAAACACGTGGGTTTCCAGTTATACCTTTCGACTTTAACAAGACACAAAACCTATGGGCGTCTTCATATTTTATTCTAGCCAAGCGCAGGAGATGAAAGAAAAAAAATGCATCGCAAATCCGCTGCCGCTGTACACACTGGTCTAACGGCAACCCCCCCCCCCTCCCAACGTTGTCACAGGAGTTGTTTGACCATACTTCACCATGCCGATACGTGCGGGTTGGTAAAGGAGAGAGGGGGTGGGAGGGGTGTGCACAAGACCAGTGCATCTCACTCACCACTGACGTTAGACATGACTGGGAATAGGTCGCTGGTTTCAAAACACAGTAGCGAACGCACCATCGCGCCCTATCAAAATAAATAACTTGCGTCGTACGTGATAACTTGGTTGAACGCACTTAGGGGCCGTCCATAAATGACGTCACGCGATTTTGGACGATTGACCCCCCCCCCACTTCGTCACACGGCGTCAGAAAGTCAGACCCCCCTCAAATGACGTCACAAAGCTCTGCCCCCCACCCCCCCCCCCCCAAATAAAACATGCTTCAAATAGCTTTAAACTATTGTCGTAGTGCGTATTTAATGTGCCGCTGGACTCTGTTATAGAAGAAAACATTTATAAAAATTATATTTAATTAAGTAGAACGTGTTGTCTATATTTATTTAAAGTTGCGCATTTTGATGTGACGTCACATTTCTCAACACCCCCCCCCCCTCGTCACACATCGTCACAAATGTCTGAACCCCCCCCCCCCCCAGGTGCGTGACGTCATTTATGGACGGCCCCTTAGGCCGAAGCGAATGAGCAGGATTTGTATGCGTGCAGGTGAAATAATGTCCTCGTACTTTTAACTGTAAACCATACGAGCAGCAGGTGACGGGACAACATGAGCCGATGAATGCAGGGAGATAATCGAGACACGCGTACATATGCACGGAGAGAGAGGGCCTGGCACGACCACGACCGGTACTCACAGCACCACCACCAATCACGAAGACGACGACACGGCACGACTCACAACCACGCCAGCAAGAACACGGCTCCACGGGGAGACGACCAGCAAGGGAGGTGGGGGGGGGGGACTGCCACTGACGGACGAACACCACAACACCACCACCACCACGGGGCAGCCGGCAACGCGCACACCGTGCTACGCAAGTGGACCCTGCAAAATTCTGAAACAAGCGGCCAAAAAGACTGAAAAGGTCTTACGCTACAACGGGGAAGGGCAATTGGTGTTGGGGCACAGCACATTAACCAATCAAACGTTAGGCATACCCACTATCACTAGACCCATCCCTAACCAACCAGCAAATGTAGTAGCTATTACTTGCCCAACCCCGATCCAACTAGCTAAGCAATCTCGATTTTATAGTTCTCCCAATTACCACAATCCTACCCAACGACAAGTACTGCACTATTAATCCTCCCAATTACTCGCATCCTACCCAACCAGCCACGAGCACTAGCCCAATAGCCCAATCCACCAAGCTAACCATCCACCAGCCGTAATCCTCCCGCTCTACCACACCCTACTCAAGTAGATACTGTACTTGTATTAGTGCCTCCACCCCACCCCCCATTAACCACAATCCTACCCAACTAGCCGCTAGTAGTGCTCGACCAATCCCTACCCAACTGGCCATCCGGCCACGATCCTCCCTCCCAATGACCCCAAAGCCGACCTCCTGCACTAATTCCAGTGCTTCACCAGCAGATCTTTTTTACATTTTTGTTTTCCGCTTTTCAATCTTGGTGTTCACAATGCCACCTGCATAGCACGCGAGTCCGGGCTGCCGTATTGTACACACAAGAAACTCTTACGCCGCCCGCCTGCACATTCTAAAGTGCACTCGCACAAGAAACATTTATACCCACAAAGCAAACAAAAAAAATGCACTTAAGAGAATAATTCGCACGCACCAGATGTGAGGTTATGCCCCTGGTCGTATTTTAAGATGGCACGTGGGCACACACAGGTTCTACTCATCAATCTATGGTTTGATTGTGCAGTGAAGTGGACTACTTTGAAACTTTCAAATCTCAAAGTCTTGGTCAATCCAAGTGGCACCTACTGTGTTCCCAGGTGTGACACCTTACAGAACATGACAACCTTACCAAGTTTACAGAACCTGCATAAACAATCCAAAGTTTGGATGACACGCAAACCAGACATTGGCAATAATCACAGAGTGCAAATATAAAACACATTCAAAATTAAAATGCATATAATTATTGATAATTAAAATTTTATCGTCAAAAGGAAAAAAAAATATTTTAAGATTTGAAAAAAACCGGCACAGGTTTGCTGTTGAAAAAGAGGATAAAAATGAAAACCAAACTTTGCCAGCAGCCCTTGAAAAAAAAGGCAAAAAACACAACGAAAATTACCATGAAAAATACATGGCACTGCAACGAAATTCGGCCGCTTATTCTGCGACAACCATAAGAGTGGCCGCGCTGCTGACACACAAATGGCCTTCAGGTTTCCCCGGTTGGAAGGTTGGGACGGTCGCATCGCTGCAAGCGGACGCGTCGCTCGGCAGACGTGTAACGTGCATGTCGGTGTACAGAGCTGCCACGGCCGAGGTCCTGCGTTAGCATCCGGGTTTCATCCGCCCGCGATTAAACCAGACTGCGAAGCGCAACGAGTTTGAGAATCTTGGTCAAGTCGCCAACGACAGCATAGGGGGAGAAAAAAAACACCCCTTTGTACAAATTTGGCATTGCGCTTAATTGTTTTGTCCGACCGAGTAACGGATAGGTAATGCGACGGAAATACTCGCTCAATTGCACAGCTGAAGAGAACGGTCTTCACGGCTGCGGCGAGATAGACCCTTGGTGGACAGGTTGGTATAGAAAACCGACGATGTAATTTCGAGGTTGTTGCTCGGCCAGAAGTAGGAATCATCGCGGCGAGTTTCCGAACTGTGAAACGTTTCACTCATGAGCGCTGATGCTTCCGCTCAATTTTAATGTAACTTGTAAAAAAAACCTAAATTACACGTAAATAGTATGTATAATTGTATATATATTTATGGATTCTTTTATACATCAAAATACTGCCTTGTGCCAGCCCGGAACATTTTTCATCCCATCTCTGGGTGGTATACGTCATAAGTGATATAGTAAACAGTATTTGGTTTTACTTTCTTTTGAAATTGCTCGCTCACGCCACTGGTGGCAGAAGGGCCTCCCACTCGAGAGTGCTCGACAGCCCCTCTCGTGCGTATTTGGCCTACTCTTCCACGCTGGCAAAAGTATTACTTTTGTACAGAGTGGAAAAAAACCACAAAACTCATCCACCCTGTAGTACATTTGGCAAAGAGACTTAACATTGCTTATAGTGGTATAAAGAGTATCTAAACAACCACTAATTCATATAATCTGCTGTGCTGTAAATTCCATGCGCGCTATGGCACCAGAGCCCACGTTTGCAATAATGATGTAAGCCAGGGCAACTTTTTTTAAGAGTTGTCGTTGGCTTTTTAAAATAAAGTGTTTAGATTTTTAAGAATCCCGCAGTTTCGACTCGTGTTACAATGAAAACCAGTAATCGCACGTTTACTGCAAACAATCACGAAAACTATACACAGTCTTTCGTGTATCACCACATTGTATAAATCTCAGATGGGGTTGCTGGACACGAGGCAAAGGTTGTAAACTACAGCTGGGGACAATGGGCCGAGCGAGTCCACGAATCGACTAAAAATTGCAGCAGGCTTCTAAATTTTGCGTTATCCAATGATTCAAGAGATCAAACTGATAATCGGCGGAGTTTTATCAAACACTTGGATGGGATAGTCCAGCTCTAGTGAAAACAACGACTGAGGTGTATTAGGTGATATAACAAGATTCAAGGGGGGCACGGTTTTTTGAGAAAACATCCCCCGGATTACGTAACCAGCACCTTCACCACCTTCCACAGCTTCATGGCATGGGAGTGTCTGAGGATCCCCATATATCTTGGACAGCGTCAGTCCTCTATTCTCACAGGGATGTCGCCACATTCCAAGCTCCATTAACCACCAAGGGCCAAACTAAACTAATTATTTTGCACATGGGCACAACACCTGCCGACTTGTTAGCACACATCACGGTACCGCCACGCTGCTGTATTCTGCGTGAGCAAGGCGTGCCCTGGTGAGGGTCTGACCCACCTGACGATGATCCCCTGTGCCGTGTTAAAGTTGTGAGCCGAAGAAAGGGGGTGGTGGGGATTGACAGGTAGGCGCGACACCCTAGGGGATCAGGTACCCCTTTTCCACTGTACAACCGAGACATGCCGGGGCCATGCCGAGGCAGCCGGACAAGACTCAGAGGAGGTGCCAGATTGTTTTTCCACTTCAGAATCTGATCCGTGCTGCCGACGTCACAAGCAACGCATGAATGCCCACACACAATGTACTGAACAACACAACGTGTGACAAAACTTATGACCTCCAACCCAGGGGCCCTGCTTGGCTGGCACTTGGGCAGATTCGCACGTCTTGTGAGGGCCAGGGTTTTGCAGTTTTGAGGGCCCTGGCTCAGATGTACCAGTGGAAATGGGGTTAAAGGGTTAGGGAGGGTGGCATGGGTAAGGGGAGTGGCCCGGCCAGCTGGGGGGCCCCGTTAATACGACGGGTCCTGGTAGCCGCGTGCAGTGCCGGCCTCGGTGAAGGGGCCCTGCTGGTAGGAGTCGCGCGAGTCGACACCGCTGCCGGCCGTGTAGGGCGCGTATGGCGTGCCGCTGGGGTCCGCGTAAGATTGGGAAAACGGATCGGACAACACCTGGTAGCGTTTGTAGGCGTTGTACGTCAGGGAACCCTGCACACGTGACACGGCAATTGAAAAACACACACGATCATTTTTCACAATGACATAAAATTTCACGACATTAAGATCACTATCAGTTTCACATAATATTTTGCCTTTTTACTGAAAAGTTTTTGCAATGTGGAGGTCGCCGGTTCCATCTCCCAGCATGACAGCTGCAACAACTGGGAAGTTTCTTAAATCCCGCCGCCTTTGTCCACTCAGGAGAATAAACGGGGAAACCGCGGATAGCGGCTCGGGAGACTGCTTGTGATGGGGTAAAACGTGGGGTACTCCCACCTTTCCCAGTAAGTACAGCCAGCGTCCAAGTGTAGGGTCAAATACCCATTCTATAAATCTCTTGAGCTGCCTCTAGCGGAGGCCCTTCTGCCAGCAGTGGCACGAGCAATTCGTTGCAGGGCTGCACCTTCATCCCTTTCACGAAAGCCCTTAAACCATTTAAAGATAGTTAATAAACATTGTTTATTGTTTAACCAATTAAGGTCCACTGAGCTACGTAGCTCTTTTTCAGAAGCGACCTGGCCACAAATGATAGCTCAACTAAGTGGCTTATCACGTGGAAATGAATATCAGCCAAATACTTTAAACAGATGTTTCTAAATCTTGACTTAAAGCCTTTGTGACTGCAGGAATTTATGCTCTTTGGGTCTTTCGGTAAAGTCACATAGATTTCTTCCTGCCTCAGCAGTCCGCCTGCTAGATTTTTTCACCGGAAGACGATTGCTTGTGTTGCAATTGAAACGTCGTGATTTTTTAAATTATTTTTCTATCTACGTGACTTTACCGAAAGACCCAAAGAATACGTTTCTAAATGTGGAGGGAAAAAACGGAAGACCCAGAGCAAAATCCATACGATCACAGGGAGAACATGTAAACTCCAAATATACAGGCGTCAGGATCGGTATTGAACCCACAACCTCCTGTATACCGGGGGAAACGGTAAACATCTCACCACCGTGGAGGCCACCTAACTACTATTCACAAACGCCCCCTTACCCCCCCCCGCCCGCCTGCATTAATGTAGACAGACAAGGTTTGCCTGGACAACACGTTCACCAAAAGGATCCCCACGTCGCTCTCTGGCAAGTTCAGGTTTGCACGGCCCGTCGTTTTGCGTGCCGACGGAAATGTGTGGACACATTGTTCAGAACAACAACACACGGGGAGCCACGACCCAAAACCACATCGGAAGCGATGCCCAGCACAGCCTCGAAAACCAAAGCAACGGCACTCCTTGGATCCCTCTCGTGTGCCACGCAGTGGTTGGGGGGGAGAAGTCACCGTGGCGGGCTTGAGTTGTCGGGAGTAAAAAAAAAAAATACTTTAAACACTTTCATCTGGGTCACGGTCATGACTTCTGTGCAGATGTCACGCGTCTGCTCACCCAAATGAAGATGGAGAAGAACGCGAAGCTGATGGATGCACGCGCCGCGTCGCCGTTCTTTTGCTCCGATGTTTTCGACCACTGATTGGTCAAGAAGCAGAAGCCCACGAACCACATGAACGTCCACAGCACTGCACCACACGATAACAGCAGCACATGGCCGAGCCGTTAACACCTCTGGCAGGCAAACCCCCACGGTTTCCGCGCCTCAGTTCACACTCGCACAGTTGCCACCCGCAGGCCCACCCCCCCTCCCTAAAAACGAGAGGTGCCACGACATGTGCGCACCGAATAATGCGTGCGTCGTCGTTTCAGATTCATAGACTCCACGTGCACCGCACGAGAAAAAATTAATTGGCGAACCATGACCCTCCCGACCCCCCCCCCGCCCCCCCCCCCCATATATTACGTGACAAATCAAGTGCACAAAAACATGACGTAGATTTACGGCGTCCAAGTGCGACGACATCTATGCAAGAATGTGCTGCGCGGAGAGACGGTGTTGGCGGTTCGTGGCCGTAAATCTACCACCCTGTAGGACGCAAAGTCGCCTAACGCAGCATCTAAATGCGAAGCATTTTAAGAATGGGCCTTGCTAAAACAGCGGGCGATGAGTGCACAGGTGCCGTCGGTAGGGCGTGGGAGCGCTCACCGGAGAAGACGACCTCGACGCGCAGAATGTTTTTGCGGTCCAGCGGGCCCACTATGCTTGGCACGTACAGGTCCAACACAAGCAGCAGTGTGGCCGCCAGGAAGGCGATGACGCCTATGGCGACGCCGTAGCGGCACGCGTCGCCGTTCAGGTTGAAGATGCACTGGATCGAGGGCTCTTTTTGACCGAAGTTGGCGTAGCCCTCATTGGTGATGCAGGCGAGCACAACCACTGCGAAGAGCTGCAACACGCGGGCAGCCACGCGCGCACGCACACACCAGTGTTAATGTAATCAGCATTTGTTATTTCAGTTAGTCTTAGTCTATTCGACAACCTGCGACTGTCCGCACCTCTGATGAGGACGTTGGCTATGTGCGGTACGAAAGAGGTTCAACTTACGTGCATACCGTGAAATTCTCGTCAAGTCTTAACCTGTGGCTCTCATGTAGTTATTCTCCTAGCATCGTTGGCTAAAGCAGTCAAACGTTTAGTAAAACTCTTAGTCATTAAATGTTGGTGTGAGAGGTGAGTAACCCCCCCCCCTCCCCCATTATTATTAGGTCAGCCAATTATGGAAATATTACATAAACATTTTTACCCAATTCTCGTTTTTTTGTCTTCCTCAGTGTGCTGAATTATCTATTGTTTTACGAGATTGTCTGCGTCTTCATTCAGGTTAGTTAATGTCATCTCGCCTTAGTCATGCTTTTATTCTTGAGTGGGTAATCGTAGGCATCACCATGCCTGATGATATTTATCCTCCTAAGTCATTGTTGACTAAACAAATAAAAAAACCCTTGTGTACACGCTCGCGCAAAACAAAGGTCCCCAAATAGCCTTAACAGACATTAGGGGCAAGTGTTGTTACTGAGCACATGTGAAGGTTAACCCAGCACACGAGAGGGCTGGACAGGCCAGCGTCATGCTCGGCAGCCTTTGTCTCCCGAATGGCAATGTTTACACATCGGATCAGGTACTCATTTGAGACCAAGTCGACCCAAGTGATGCCCATGACCACTCACACACACGCTTCACTAATTAAACAAACTGCAAGCCGGGTGCGTTGGTGGCGGTGCATGCCACTTCGGACGCTCGAAATTGTGGACGCGCAAAACATTTTTGAGTGCTAATCTCACCGGGGTCTGCAAGGAGATCATTGAGGTGACATTACAGCGAGTGGGGTTAATTAACAACCTATTATGGTAGAACTTTATCCTCTCGTCTACGTGGACATCGTCTGGGTTCTGAGTTTCCTCCCACAAGCAAAATACTCCTAAAATAGAATTGTGCCTAAACACCATTGTGGCACGATCCAGAAAAAAGTCTTGTGACTCATAAGTTTTTTTTTCTGATATAAATAGTTACATTATTTACTGTTTATAAATGTCAACATAGCCTCTCCCAAAGCATTTGCTTAAACCAAGTATGCAGTTACCCCAAAGGTGAATGTGTCAAATGTACAATGATTGATGGAATTAGATATCCGAGTAGGTGTATGTGTACAAAACCACACCCAGAACAAGCAAATGACATTTAACGAGGGTTTGTCGTCAAAATTAAAGGTTGACTTGAAGGTGAAGGAGCAGAGGTGGGTGCTGAGTGTCAATTGTAAGACTTCCCCCCCCCCCACACCTATTACCAAATCACCCTGAGTGCATCTCGTCATATCTTAGAAGCGAAGCAGGGAAAAGCTTAGCTGGTACTTGGATGGGTAGCTCCCACATGCAGCCTACAACAACCGGACGTGTTGTCGCAGACTGCAATGCTACTCGGTGGGCAGCTGAGAACGCGGGAATATCCATCGCTGCATCGTTCTTCTATGCTCCCACATCAACGCTCTCCACCTTCACCAACCCACATCAACACCAGCATGGTTACGGCGTGGTCAAAAACCCACTGTGAGCGGGGCAGCCTGTGTTATTGTGGGATTGCATGGTGGGTATCAGGAGGCAGTGCAGCAAAATCAAGTGCTGTACAGCAGAGCTTCTTAACCTTTTTCAATCCAAAGCACACACTTTCAAGCTAGCTCAATCTTGGTGGCATAGTGAACCACAAAATCACTGTGAGCCCGGGTGGATCAGTCGGAATGCGTTGTAGCCGCGACAGAATTTACAATCCCTTGGTCGCTTTGCAAGCGTGACACGAATTTGCCCAACTGCACGAGTGTGTCCGTGTCTGCGTGAGTGGCTCCGTCTCCGTGTCCCTGCGTCTCTCTCTCTCCATGTCTGTGTGCGAGTGTATTCTTGTCCGTGTCTCTGCATGTCACTGTATGTCTCTGTGTCTCCTTCTCTGTGTGTTTTCCCAACTGCGCATGCGCGACCGAGGGAGTTGAGAGGGCCGGGGGCTGACGTCTGTGTGCTGTGTTTCACCGACCAATGGAGGGGGGAGGTGGGACATGAGGGTTGTCTTCTCCTATAATTCCAAATATAACACGGCACACGTTTGCGAAGCACTGCTGCAGTGATTCGTCTATGCTACACGACTTTACCAACCTACACTGACCAACGTTGAGGAGCGTGGTTCAATAACCCTCACAACCCTCGCGGCATGAATCAGAATCTTGATTTAGACTGGAGGAATCGGATGAGCTATGAAGTTATTTTTTTAGATTTGAGTATTGGGGAAGGGGTTAGCAAGTCGCAACAACAAAAACAATAGCAAGCCCTCATCAGCAGCAGCAGATTGACGAAAAGGTCTGCTCATGGGCACTTTATACAAAGTGGCCCTCTTTTACAGGGGATGAGTCAGGAGAGCCTGTGGCATCATCAGCCTTACGGGATGCCGATTTGGCACGGTCACATGAGAGCAGGTCACGCGGGACACCCGCAGAGAAGTGGGGGGGAGGGTGCCAGGAACTCTCACATCACAAGACACTCACATGAGCCACCCCCACTGCTTGTGGCGCAATGCCCGGGTGGTAGTAGCAGCACGCTACTGTAATCCTCGCCGTAACTCTATGGATTTATATATTCCCCCCCCCCCCACCGTCGCGATGCTGAAAGTTGCGTCTGATGATGGGCAGTAAGCCCCCCCCCTCCACCCCCGAGTCAAGTTTCATCACGGTGGCATTCCTTTTCCTCGTCTGTTTACTTGTGAACTCAAAGCACATGACTTGCCAGCAGCCATATGGCTGCCACTTTCTAGAATTGTCAAACAGAAACCATCCTTGATTTCCCCCGCCCTGCAACTCAATTTTAAATGAGTCGGGGGACACACCACCTGACTCTACAGATATTTTCGTCCGTTTTTAGTCAGTCTGCAGACATCATGTACCGCAGTTATTCTCTTCGTATAGGCGACTTAACGCAGTCAAACTTTTAAAAACCTTTCCTTGCTCATTCCATCGCATTTGCTCGTGGATTTTTTTTCCCATAAGAAATGTTGCACTCTTGAGGCGTTGTTAGGTTATGGGAACATTACAAATTTAAGTTTTTGATGTTGTTAAATCGAAGGAGGCAGAAGTTGATTTCTCGGTGGAGGTAGAGAGTCGATCCGTCCAATTTGTAGACTGGGAAAGCGGTAGCAGCCGGGCTCATAGCGGCGTTAAGGGCTACTGAAGCCGTGCATGAGTACAAGTCAAGCAATGTCCCGAGTCTTAGAGCGATGGACATAACCGACGAGGAAATATATAAAACACACACAAAAAACAGGAAACACATCTTGGTCGCTTTGCAAGCGGAATTATTTTCACACAATTTCCCTTTTTGAAAAATAACTATGATTCCTACGTCATACGATATCAGACAAATGTCCGATATAGTAGGAGTAATTATAGTACGAGGGAAGGACGGATACGTCCAAAGGATGCGGGGGCCGAAAAGTAATAAAATAATTATGACAAACACGACCATATTTTTTCAAATCAAACTTCAGGGGAGTACATAACTGACGTCAGCACTGCATTGAACCAGGAAAAGTGCACTTGAGATAGCGTCAAGTTTTAAAGGTTCACTGGTAGGTCAATGGACAGACCCAGGCGTGTTAGCGAACTTTGACAATGGTCAGATGCACCCAGTGTGCTACCATGTCGACCTTGCCCGTGTTACACAGCATGTCTGAAGCAAACAAAACCGGTCCTGGAGACTAATTTGACATTCAGGGGAAAGGATCTGTGCAATTACAACGATGGAGGTGCCAAGATCATAATGATGACGTAAACCGTTCGCAAGCAATGTCGCGCGGCGCTCCGGGTTGTTTATTAACGAAAGCAAACATAATTAGTGTGCAGTTTGAGTCGACGTGGCTCTTTCTGGAGGCGATAGAGGAGTCTGTCGGGGGCGGGGTGGGCGGGCATTGGACGTTCGCAAAAAAAAAACTCGACCATTTTATTGGGAGAGAAATTCGAAATAATAATTTTAACTTGTAACCCGCACAGTTATTCGCTCACTCCTTTTAGATGCACTGCACTTGACGTGAGGATCCCACGCACACTGACATTCGATATAATCCCATCGGGAGAGAGAGAGAGAGGAAAACCCCCCGCCCAACATAGTACCTGCCACGGATAACGAAAACCACGGACGGACAAATGCGAAGAGGCCAAGGCAGGCTCGCCCGGCCTGGCTGCCCGAATCAAGAACGCGGCGCTGCCACGTCGTGCTCTGCCTAAATCACGGCGGTTCCGCAAGATGAAACATCAATCAAGGCCGTGGGACCGCCGCTTTAACCCACAGCGACCGCGTCCTTGCTTGGGTAAGGGGACACGCCTGGGTTATGTTACGCGCGCCAAGATGGAGCAATGAAATCGGATCGTGCGATATCTTGGGGGTGGAATCTTCATCCAGCAGTGGATCGATAATGGCCGACGATGATCGGTAACTACACCGACACGTTCCTCATAACCATCAATCATTGTCGTGAGCGCACCCACGGCACGCTCGTCCGTGAATGATCACTCCACGTCCCTCAACGTCGTTCGTTAATAAATAATCATCCACGTCGACGATGCTGTGCATCAACCATTATCACCAGCCTCACGCGACACGCTTCACGATGATCACAACCAGTTACAGTGTGACTCATCAACACCAACGTGTCAACAAGTCCATCATCCGCAACAGCTGCCGACATTAAAAAGAAAATAATCCGCCCCGCTTTTCATGCCGTGATCCCTACAGATCGAGTAACGCAGGCTCGTCGCCAAAACACCAAGTCAATCAACAACACAAACATACCCACCAAGTGAGAATACGTGTATCCCTTTTTCTGGCAACAAAACTGGTGTTAATGTTAAAACACCAAACTGAAACCTTCTACAAGGAATCACGTCTTGCATTAACCACAATGCTTGTGATCAGAATGGATACAAAACATACTCTGATAATATATGCATTGTCCTTGAAACCGATTGGTCCACACCAGAGACAGCTTTCTTTTGAGTCTCGTCTCAAACACCGAGAGAGAGAAAGGAAAAAAAAACCCAACATAGTGCTTGCCACGGATAACGAAAACCACGGACGGACAGACGGGAACAGGCCAAGGCAGGCCCGCCCGGCCTGGCTGCCCGCATCAAGAACGCGGCACTGCCACGTCGTACTCTGACAAAATCACGGCGGTTCCGCAAGATGAAGTATCAATGAAGGCCGTGGGACCGCCGCTTGAACCCACAGCGACCACGTCCTTGTTTGGGTGCAGATTCCCCCGTCCCCCCCAGACGGGGCTCAAAAGAAAGCGGTCTATGGTGTGGACCAATCAGTTTCAGGGACAATGCATATATTACCAGTGTGTTTTTTGTTTGCATTATGACCACAAGTATCGTGGTTAATGCAGACGTGATTCCTTGTAAAAAGGTTTCAGTTTGGTGTTTTAACATCTCAACACCTAATAATAGGGGGTTTCCCCTTTTTTTTCTGGCAACAAAACTGAAACCTTTTTACAAGGATTCATGTCTGCATTAACCACAATACCTGCAGTCAAAATGCAAACAAAAAACATACTATGATAATATATGATGCATTGTCCTTGAAACTCATTGGTCCACACCAAGGGACGGCTTTCTTTTGAGCCTCGACCCAATTGGTGCTCGACCAGATGACGCCAAAAGGCGTACGCCAATTGGGTCGAGGCTCAAAAGAAAGCCGTCCCTTGGTGTGGACCAATCAGTTTCAAGGACGATGCATATATTATCATACCTGACTGCAGGTATTGTGGTTAATGCACACATGAATCCTCGTAAAAAGGTTTCAGTTTTGTTGCCAAAAAAAGGGGAAAACCCCTATTATTATATTTTGGTACTGGCAAAGGAGGTCTAATGACGTAGATGCTCAACACCTGTTTTGTTGCCAGAAAAAAAAGGGGAAAACTTATTCTCATATTTTTGTACTGGCAAAGGATGTCCAATGATTATACCCACGACAAGTTCATCATAATCATCATCCACCACGACCAACCATGATCACCGCCGTCATAACAAACAAAACATCTTCACCACCCTGACCCCGACATCGCCACTATTCAAAGCCACGGCCTCGCCAACCGACAAACCCCCACAACACCTTTGCTGTAATTACACGCGGCCCTTCGAAGACGCCACGGGGTTGTTGTTGTTAAGCGTAAACGCGCAACGCGCTCGACTTAGCCGCGTGACAACGGCCCATGGAGGCAACGTGGAAGACAACGCTGACACAATGTGGGCCGTTGCAGAGAGCGTGTAACGAAAGTCGCGTTAACAGCCGCCCAATGTAATAAACAGCACGCAGTACTTGTAACGTTATGTATAAACGTTACATCTTCAGGGATTCCATAGATTTTTTGATACTTTTTTTTACTGTAAAATTACAATATACGCCTAAATGTGACCATCTTTTTTGCGTTAAAACGCTGTCAAAAAAAATCGGACGGTGTACAATTGACGAGACATCTTCAGCGCTCCGGGGATTAAGAGAAAGGTTTTCCGGCTTGAGGCGCCTTCAACGAGCCTCGTCATCGCTTCCTTAAATCCTTTAAAGACTTTCTCAAGCAGTGGTTGAAAGTCTACGTTCGCGACCTGAATCAAAGCAACCAGTACGCTGGGAAAATTCCACGATGAAAAACCATTAACACCCGAGGTGGAGATTTTGCAGTGTTACAAAATAAAAATTCGCACCCTCACCACCCCCCCCCCCCTCGTGCGCGCGCCGTGAGCCGACGCAGAGAGCCACCTTCCGGGCAAAGTCCCGCAGGCTAGACCGAGGCGCCGGCCTAAGCACTCGGTCTTTCCCCTCGCACCGCTACGCCGCGGCGCCAACGCCACCCGCTCTCCTCTACTTCATGCACATCTACCGCGCTCACCCAGCTCAGCAGCCTGAGAATGGTGAGCGGCTTCTTCAAGAAGGCCACGATGTCGAAGACGCCACCCGCTCTGCCCGCTCCAAAACCGCTCTCCTCCGCTCCCTCCATTTTAAAGCAAACGCCGTCTCGTGAGTTTTGTGGCGTGACGTCACGACGTCGCTGCGCGTGCTCTCGTGACGTCACCGCGACCCCACGTGCCTCGTCGGCGCTGTGGGGTCGCGACGTCATCACGCGACGGGTCATAATAATATTTTATTTTATATCTGGAGGAATCCGATGAGCTATAAAGCTCTTATTTTTTTTTTTAAAACACACATATCTCCAGTAGGTGGCAACTCAGAACGTTACAACAAACAATACAAAAGCACGATAGGTAGTGCAAAAGTATAGGAAAGGTAAATAAATCTCTTAAAAATTTTAACAAACAAAACTAAATGTTTTTTTTGCATTCTTACCAGGTTAAACTTATTGCGCTCTGAGCAAGAAAAAAACATGTCTTTATATATTTTTTTTAATAATTGAGGATTTTATTCGCGAAAGTCTCCACGACTCTTTCTTTAACAGGGGCCTGGCCAATATTTTCGCCAGAGAGGGGATGGGGCGATATTGCTTCGCGTGTACGGTAATCACAATTTGAGTAATGCATAAAGGTGCATGCATTATGTAAGTTGATTGCTATATGAAGAACCCAACCGATAATGGGTAATAAAGAATTAAAGCTTTCGTGACTTCATAAATTACTCATTGTTTTTTTCGGTAAAGTCACGTATGTAGAAAAACCATAATATTATATTAAAATAAAAAAAAATCAAACACGACGTTTCGACCGCAACACAAGCGATCTTCATCAGGTGTAAAAAACAAATAGCACATCGGGTGACATCAACGCAACACATAGAGAGCGTTAAACTGCACGGAGGTGAAGATGAGAGACGCTTGTGTTGCGGTCGAAACGTCGTGATTGATTGATTGATTTTATTTTAATATAATTTTATGGTATTTCTACATACGTGACTTTAGCGAAAAAAACAATGAGCGACAATGGATAACCCATTGTAATTTATTCGCATCTTTAATCCCCCTTCGCACAAGAAGGGCTCACGAGCGACGGCATCACAGCTACCCCTCTATTTAAGGAACGAAACAGGAGGATGATTTCTCCACAAATCTGGCTGTCGTCTGATGAAGCTAGTTGTAATTACTGGCGAAACGTCGTACTCAAGATTATAAATGTTGTGGATTTGCTCTCCAACACACCGGAGTGCTGTACGAGTAACGAATTGGCACTTTCCATTTACGTGACAACCCTTACTAGTTGGCTGTGTCGGGTGGTGGCCGATTTAACGACACATTTATATATTTACGCGATCTAACCCAAAAAAAACACCCTGTATTATGGATGATATTGGTCGCGAAAGCCTACTACTACGTGTTAAACTGGCAATTTTAATAACTTTCAGCCAATTCTTGAGCATTGTGATGAGTGTGTTAGGAAGGTCTTCGTCGTCTTATGTACGGCTGCCGACGTAGATGCAACAGGGCAACGACTTACAATGTCACATTCAGGTGGTCAAGCCCAAGACAGACAGTGTATCGTCGCTGCGATGTCTCATTCGTATTTGTGGTACGCGTGGGCATTGCGTCCTTAGACGTTGTTACGGTCTGTTCGCATACCAAGTCAACCCACGCGGTTTTACCCCGTATTCTTGTAACAGGGAAATTTCGTTTTCAGGTCCATACGGCGTACAGCCGTTTCAATACGGGCAACAAACATTGTTCTGTCTGTAAAGTCACGTAGAAGGGAAACAAAATACTAAAAAAAAAATTCTCACGACGTTTCGACTGCAACACAAGCAATCATCATAACAAGCAATCATCATCATCTTGTTGTGGTTTTCACACCTGATCATGATTGCTTGTGTTGCAGTCGAAACGTCGTGAGAATTTTATTGTTTTATATATTTTATTAATTTATTGTTTCCCTTCTACGTGACTTTACCGAAATAACCAAGAACATGAATCCCTGCAGTCACGAAAACTTTAAATCAAAATTGTTCTGTCTATTTGTTTGTGTTTCTCCCTTGTGATGGGACTTTGTAGGATGAACGTTGAGATTTATAAGGGGCACGGGATGACCAAAAGGGTCTGAATTGGTCTGCAATAAGGTAGGACACTGATAAGGGATTGACAGGTATGTGCTCTGGATGACCGCAGTCCCACACTGGACAATTTTAATTTTCCATTTTGTGCGTCAGGTATCCGCATCTGCCATGGTCACGAAGTTAAAGATAAAAAAAGATTATATAACCCAACTCCAGCGAATTTCCTAGGCGCGGGGCTTTAAAACGGCTTCACGCCACTCACCGCAAAATCTACAAAACTCGAACCCCCCGCAAACATTGCACACAGCCACACACTAGATTCGAAGCTTTCGTGACTGCAGGAATTACTCTGTGGTTCTTTAGGTAAAGTCACGTAGAAAATAAAATCAAATAATAATATAACACGACGTTTCGATTGCAACACAAGCCACCGTCATCAGGTAAGAATAAATGAGAAAAAAACAACATCGTAAACTTAGAAACACGATGCAACACAACACAGAGAGCCGGCCAACACAACAGCCAACACCCCACCAGGCTGACCACGCTCCTCCAAAGACTGAAAAACAGAAAGACAGCGCCACTGTGTTCCACTATAAGACAAATAGGCCTCGCGAGGGGGTAGTATGGCTAACAGCACGCCCGACCACCTTTGTCTCCCCAGTGGCGATGTTTACACACCGCACCAGGTGCTCATTTGAGGCTGAGTCGACCTAGAGCAGGCCCATAACCGGTTCAGATAATCGCCACCGGTGTTGGCCGTGGGCGGGTATCGAACTCCGTTCGCCGGGTTCGTAGCGCAGCGTAGCGCTGACCGACTGTGGCACCGATACCCGCAAAAGCGACCCACAACAACAACCGTCATTCGCCACTTCGTGGAGGTGACGTCAACCACGTCGCTTGTGCCAGGTTAGGTGCACCTCGAGGCCACGTGAAGTGTCGAAGGCTCGCTGGCAGGAGGTCACGGGACAGACCCTGCAGGTGCCACGGGTCGACTGAATTCGATGACTGGCTGATGCGCCACCTGTGCTCCCCACGGCCCCAACTTGCTGCGTTTTATCTGCCTGGCGCTCCGGACATTGTTGTGAGCGTCGCTCCTCCGGCCTCCGCTGTTGTTTGGAAGGCCACTGCCTCCGACTGTCCAGTAGCGTCCTTCACGGACCTCCTCCATAGAGGCCGATCTTGACATGCACCACTGGTATCAGCACACCGGCAAGTCCACGCAACTTCGCATCCTCCTGTACCATATCAGCCCATCTCTTTTCTAGCCCGTGTCGTGCCCGTTAAGCCCCCTCTATTCATCCAAAACAGAAGCTGATTGATATACGTTGGCTGGGCATGCGTTGGCTGGGCATGCGGGCTACGTGAACCAGCCAACGCAGCCTCATCTGTAGAAAGAGCTCACTGATGGGAATGTGTCCAGATCTCTCAAGGATTTACGAGCTCCTCACACAACCCAGCTCGGTTAAATCCAAGATGGATCGCGGGTAGGCTACTATGAATGTTTTTTTTTAACCGGCGCAGATGTTCCTTCAGAAGGCTCCACGTTTCGCAAGCATAGATAAGGGAAGGGCATAACTGTGAGCGAGAAGAAATGAAACCACCGCTGCTACCGAACCACGCCGCTTCCCACACACACGCGCGCACACACACACACGGACAGATGTTCGGGCGGCTCAGCACGACCGCATTTGTCGCATAAATCTCGGCTTTATTTCGCTGTGAAAGCTTCGGGGCGTTATCAGATTTGGGTTTCGTCTTGTATTCCGCAGGCCCATAATCCGTGCATTACGAATATTGTTGTCATAATCCCCAAAAAAATCCCCATCAAAACGCCACCTCTCGGCAACCAACGAGCGCCCGTCCATCCATCCGCCTGACTCCGCCCCGGACCACGAATCGTGATAAAAGCCAGCAGTGGAGAATTAACGTCGCATAGCAGCACACCTGGGCTACAAGTGAGTTTGCTGCGTTGTGAGCGTGCGCTACGTGGTGGGGTTTTTTTTTCTTCCGGCCACGCCACCCGCTCGTGCGCCGCGCCACCCTTAATAGGTGCTCACTGACAAGCCCTCGTCCACACCTGTGCGAGTAGGCTTTACGCGGGGACCTTTGTCTTCTGTGTGCTACGTGATCACACGCATCCATCCAACTCGCGTCTCGCCACTAAGACGTTTTATAAACACGTGCACGAGACCGTGTCGTGCAGGTAAGTCTCGGTGAACACGTGGAGCTACGCGCGCGCGCACACGCATACACTACTTACGCGATTTACAAGCGCCTGTGTTATCTCACGATACCGTTTCGTTAGTTCGACGAAACGGTATCGTTATATCGTGATTGTCGTTGCTCGTTTCATGAATATATTTCATTTACTGGACAAGATACGCATTTGCAAATATGATTCCAGTTATAAATGTATACTTATGACTCCCGTGAAATGAGTGCCTCTTTAAACATAGTCCAGAGTTATTGACGGCATGGTCGTTATTATTATAAGACGTCATCGTATTCGCAGTTTGGATACTCTAATCACTTAAATATAACGGTCTTCTGTGTCACGGTGGCGTAGTGTTTAGATCGCCGCGCTACGAACTTGGAGTGACATCGCGGATGTCACTGTGTCATGCCGGCCCCAGAGAGGCACGGCGTGCGATGTAGCGACTTAGCGGGCACCACGTGTATGTGGGTGTAGTACCGGCCCTAGAGGGGCTCGGTGAGCACTCATTGGCAGTGCTGGATGGCACCACGCTCTGCGTGCAGTGCCGACCCCTACAGGATAGGGAGGATAGGGTGTGAGAGTGCCGGGCATGGGAATGGGGTTACTCAGGGCCATGGCACTCTGTTTGACCCCGAAGTACACGTGACCGGTAAAGTCTACACAGGGGCGAGATCCTGCTCGAGGGTTCTCGAAGGTGGTCGTGGCTAAGGGCGGAGCCAGCCACGGCCACGGAGGATAGAAGCCGGGTCCCCGAGAGGGACCGGCTGCTGTGGTTATCACAATCTACGTGCCTTTACCGAAAGACCCAAAGAATATCCTGAAGAATCTACGTTCTACGTCCGAGAAGAGTCACCAAGACGTGGACCTGGACCCAAGCTGGGTTCCTGTCCGTTGTATCTAGGGACCGTCCATAAATGACGTAACGCAGCTGGGGGGGGGGGGGGGGGGCAGACATTTGTGACGCTGTGTGACGAGGGGGGGGGGGGTTGAGAAACGTAACGTCACATCAAAATGCGCAACTTGAAATAAATATAGACAACACGTTCTACTTATATATTTTTTTTATAAATGTTTCCTCCTACAACATCAGAGTGCAGCGGCACATTAAATACGCACTAAAATGACAATAGTTTAAAGCGATATGAAGCATGTTGTATTTTGGGGGGGGGGGGCAGAGCTTTGTGACGTCATATTTGAGGAGGGGGGGTTGACTTTTTGTGACGCCTGTGTGACGATGGGGGGGTCAAAAATCGTTCAAAATCGCGTGACGTCATTTATGGACGGCCCCCTACTCCCAGTGTAGTTAGCCTGGTGGTCCACCACCACAGGTTGTTATCTGGTGAAGGGGCAGTTACCCCTTCGTGTTGGTATAAATAAATGTGTTGCCTCCAAAGAGTCCGTCTGCGACTCAGTTGAACCCACTACAAGCCCAACCGACCCGAGTTTGATTCCCACTCGCAGCCAACACCAGTGCCGGGTATCTGAACTAGTCCTGGGATTAGTCCTGGGATTCATCTAGGTCGACTGAGCCCCCAATGAGTACCTGATGCGATGCGTAAAAATATACACCAGGGAGACAAAGGCGGCCGGGCGTGGTGCTGGTTACATTACCCTTCGTGTGACGTTCCGGCCTTCTTCGGTGCTCGTTAACAGCATTTGCCCCAACAGTCTGTTGAGGCTGCACGGGGGATATTTTGTCTTTGTGCGTCTTTGTCTTTGATTTGTGCACGCGAGCGCGTCTTTGTGTCCCACTGACAGCTCTGTGCGTCACAAGGCAGTAACATATTGTAAAGTCGCAAGGGTTAGAGAAATAACTCATGGCAGACTTGGAATGCAGTCGGTTGAAGTGCAGTTTAAAAAAAAACCCTTCGCTTTTAAGTCTCCCGTGCCTACTGGAGGCACTAAACCCATAAGCATTACGACCGCAATGCACAATTACAAAGCTACGCGAATCTCATATCGCGAAATTTGATAACGCGTGTTAAAAAATATCTAAAGGTAGTGGCGATTCCACGTGGCTGGATTCCCGCTTCTCGACAGAACGTAATGCACAGCGCGTGATCGGAGCGAGACGCGTGGAAGCCAACTTGTGAACGATACCCTTGTGGACGACACATTTATTTAGCACAGCGTTCATGTGCTATGAAAAAGGGAACATTGCCCGAAACGTCGCCTATTATGTACGGTTCTTCTTTTATTGACGAACATGTTGAGTTGTTTTTACATTTAGTTCGGATCTATTTAGATACAATTTGTAACTGCTGTAAAGGGTCGAGTGGTGTGGCGCACGGCATTGTGAATTACCGCATAGGACACAAGCCATCTCCCCCTGTTTTAATTCGAAAACTTGGGGATGCGTCCTATAATGTGGAGAATACGTGGTCTTCCAGGAGACAAGCGTTTAACACGCGCCCACTATTGTTTCAGCTCATCTGTAAGTTGAAGAATAATACCGAACCAAACGATTCTACGCGCGACAAATGGTTCCTTTATATTCTTGGTTCTTTCGGTAAAGTCACGTAGAAGGGAAACAATAAAATAATAAAAATAAAAAACAATAAAATTCTCACGACGTTTAGACTGCAACACAAGCAATCATCATCAGGTGTGAAAACCACAGCAAATTTTCTTGTTGTTGGGGCTTCACCAGTGCCGGATTATCCTAGTCGCAAAAGTTGCTACTACACATGTAGCTGTAGCTACGACACATGTAGCTACTACACATGTAGCTACTACACATGTAGCTACTACATAATGCTACGCGCCAAACGCTTTCAAGCTATCAATTCCGGTTCAGTAATTCTGCACTTGCTCTATGACTATAGTACTATACCGCCTTAAACTTTTACGAACGACTGGGTGTTTAAGGTTAGCGATTTGTCATATTATCTGGCTGTATAGCGAATACAATAATACAATGACTTTACCTTGCAAGTTAAAAATGTATGTGTTTTCATGTTTTTTTCCCGGGCCCCTTTATAACATATGCTACAGGCCCCGCACGAGCTTAATCCGCCACTGGTCTTCACAACACACATTTGAACCAGATCGTTACGTGGCCCGTCCCAAAATTCAAAATACGAATCATAACGTTGGCTGCGAAAACCAAACGTTCCTCTCGTCTCTCCCAGTGCCGCAAACTCCTCCTCTTCCGCGTGCAATTATCTTGCCCGGCTGAAAGCGCGAGCAGAGGTCCGTGAGCTCCACCTGGAGCCACCATGGAAGATGAAGACGATGATGAGATGGACGAGCCGCGGATGCAGTTGGAGGTCGAGAGCCTCCGGTATCAGCTGGAGTATGCGCGGGAGCTCTCGTCCGTCACCATCCCCGCGTGCGTTCCTTCACTCCCCCTTGCCCTGCGCGCATACACACGCACCCGTGAGCATTCAGTTGCATTGCAACCGACTAGCTTCCGCGTAGACATCTCTTAACCAGCCGCGCAACCGGTTGCCTACGGTCCAACACTTGGCTTGCTCCGGATTGCTGAAAAGCCAAATCGATTGTCGTGACAACTTGATTTGATTTGTTTGGCCGGATGGTGGAGGGTGTAGCTGAAAATGTATTATCGTGAAAACGAAAAGCTATCAAATGAATTGTTTTTATTTGCGAATAATTCAGATAAGTTCATACACCAGACAATGAAAGTCGCGTGTTTTTTTATTGACGCGTTACAAGATGTGTCACGAATGTGGATACAAACGCCTGATCAAGTTACTTAAGTATAATCGTTGTCAATGCCATCGTCTGACTGTTCTCCAACACAAGGTGCTGTTGCACTGCTAGCTACATCGGTTCTCAAATGACATCTCTTCCATTCACAACAGCACCATAGTGATATATTTTTTTACAAAGGTACTATTACTCCTTTAAGTCACCAAGGTGGAAGAGTAGTACAGCGATTTGAGCACTGCACACCGAGACCCGAGTTTGATTCCCGTCCACGGCTAACATCAGTGGCGTGTAATAGCCAGTCGTGGGCCTCTCGACTTCACCAACCAGCGAGGGTGATGGTCATGACGTATGGTTAAACAATCCACACAACCAACAGTGGGGAGTTGACAAAAGTTGAGCAAATGATTATTTAAATCACATACAGCAATTGCATTTGTTTGAAAATTAAGGATGTTGCCAGTGTTTGCCCGGCAAAGGCAGAACAAGAGTTGGCACGCTCCACCCATCATCGTCAGCCACGGTTTATCCACTGCTGGAGGTATATTGTTTAATCACTTTTTCCAAACTTGATCTGTTCTAACTGCAAACATCGCAAGCAGAAACCCAAAAATAACTGACACATTTCAGGGACTGACTCCTTAAGGATAACGACATAAGGGCCAGGGCCTGCATGCCATAGGGAGTGGCAATTGGTGCAAAAAAAATACAGCCCTTTGTTAATCTACTGCTGGAAGGGCTCCTCCTCCCCATGTCGTGTCGGTCATGCGGGTTGTTTGACCATACTTCATCACGCCGGTCAACGCGGGTTGGTGAAGGTGGCACCCAGGACCTTGCCCACTGATGTTAACCGTGACCGGGAACTGAACTCGGGTCACAGAGTTCACAGTGCACTTTTTTCGTTTTAATGAAAAACCAAGGGAAAAGAAAGCCCCTCAAGGGGTGCATGTCACATCACGTTGGATTGAAATTTTCGGCTCGGAGGAGCACTGCCTTGACGGAGCCAGCTGGAGAACATACAGCAGTGTTTCACGAGGATTCTAAATGTCCTGCAAATACCTAGATTCCACACGGTGTTCTACGCAATCAGCCACTGGCCAGTGAGCTGACCTGATAACCTCCGAACGAGCAAGAGCGCTTTTGCTGCAGAGATTAATCGCAATCTGGTATTACCGGCCGGCTCTTTCCCTATGAACCCCTTCCACAACAGCGTTCATTGTTTGCAACTGGAAGGCCCTTTTGTGAGCAGGACACAAAAAAATAGAGCTCTTTGATTGCACTCGCAGAGTGAAACGTCGGACATCAAACCGAACAGCACGCGGTAAAGCCAGAAAACAAGTCTGAGAGCGACACGGCACGACCACGGAAAACTACACAAGCATTAGAACACAGAGCAGTGGTGTAACGATAGAACCAATACAGACTTTTATTGTGAAGATCTCGGCTTACACACTAAAAAAAAAATCAAATACCAGATGTACACGTACACACATACACCATGTACAGCATGTTGCGTGCATGTGTTGTATGCGATTAACGCGGGGGCATGTACGTATGTGTTGAACCTTCTTTCGCAGTGTATGCAGCAGACCGTGGTCATCGGAGGGGTGTGCTGTGTGGGTGTGCTGCGTGGGGACAGTCTGGTGGGCTGGGTGCAGGAGGGGGCAACAACGGACCCCATCCTCAACCCCGAGCTCATGAAGGAAAACCCCTGGGTGGACAAGGGCAAGTGCATCATCCTGTGACCGCGGCACCCCGGGGGCCCGTGTCGCTCAACCGTTTCACAATGACCCCTTCGCTTTCCCTTGTGCGAATCGCTGTTAAGAGTCATGTCAGTCACCCGTCCTGTGATTTTTTTAGAACTATGAACATTAAACAAGGTGTGATGGATGTCAGTATTTTTTTTACCCGTGATATACACCCGTTGTATTGCATCTGTTATCTTCCCAAATAAAACGTTTACATCTCGTTCCCACACGGTAACGCGTACTGTACTTTCATCCTGGCATCGTTTGCTTCGACCTTTCATATAGCCGCACGTTGGAGAGCAAGGTGAGATGCGCGCACGGATCGGTCCTCGTCGTATTACGAAGGTGATGAAATGTACGAGTTCCACGTCAAACGGTGCTCATCGGTTGTTCACGGGCAGTGGCCTCCGAAGGCAGTCTTCGCCGAGTCCTGCACAAGGCCGGTGTGTGGCCCCAAACAGCCACCCCCCAGACGGAGAATCACGCCCCGGCGACGCCTCCGATAGGCAAAACGTTCACAGGAGGTCCTTCACGTGCAGGTTGCGGCGCACGGCGTTGGAGAAGCCCTCGTTGAAGCGGAACCACACGTCACTGGCGCCCACCGCCCTCCCAATGCGCTGCTCGATGGGCTCCGGCACCGGCACGCCGTCCACTGGCACTGCACCAGCCACGTGGATGGGTGACACAGTGAGGATGGTGGGGGGGGGGGAAGTGGGGGTGGGGTAGCGGCACCGTTAATTAAACGACTGAGGGACAATAGCCAAAATAACAAATACAAACTTTTGTTTAGTCTCTCGGGTCCATTGGCATTCCAGTTAAATATCCATCCCAGGAGTATTTTTTTTTACCAAGTAAACTCTAAGCTGGTTTCAGCCTTCTGGGTCTCATCAGCAAAGTCAATATTTTGATGTATATGTTGAGACAGCGGAACAGATACTTGCTTATATATGCTTATACCGATAATCCTCCAACAACACCGCAATATACTTTTTGTGTTGCATAGGGCTGTAGTTTAGTTGCGAGCCCACTGGCCAATGACATCTGGTAATCCCCATCAAGCAGCATTTGTGAACAAGCCTGACTACACACGTATAATGCTCCACAACAACAATGCATTATGAGTTTGAAAAATAAATACAATGGCTAGACAGCAAGCGGCACCCTCGTCATGTAGGAATGTTGCACTTTTTTTGCACCGTACGTAGCCAACCGTGCTAATTGTCATGTGCGGCTTGCAACGAGTGAGCGAGGCGACATAGGTGTGGAGCTGCGGATGCAGTGTGAGGTCGGGAACCACCTGAAACTGCCAGCGCTGGCTCCCGTCGTACCACAGGGCGGCCGAAGAAATCTGTCTCGGGCTGGGGTGGGAGCGGGGAACAATGCACGCACGTCCAGGAAAGGGTCAACTCAAAGATGTGTGGGTGGAATGTCATCCAGCAGTGCAGTGCCATGTAAAGTAAAAATGAGTCCGACTCAGACCATCATCACTGCAATCCCTCTAGGCGTTGACAAAAACAGGTACCAATTTTGATTTAAAGCTTTCGTGACTGCAGTAATTAATATTCTTAGCTCTTTCGGTAAAGTCACGTTGAAGGGAAACAATAAAATAATAAAATATATATAAAACAATAAAAATTCTCACGACGTTTCAACCAAACGACCGTTTGTGTTATGGTCGAAACGTCGTGAGAATTTTTATTGTTTTATATATATTTTATTGTTTCCCTTCAACATGACTTTACCGAAAGAGCTAAGAATATAGGTACCAATTTGTGAGACATCAATAGTGTTTGACTTATGGAGAGACTGGTCACGTTCACAGACATGTGGAATTTCGACCACTGGCTTGGGACTGCCAATAGTGATGACTTTCACCGCATTATAAATTGAGTAGGGAGACACATTGATTTTTTTAAATCAATTTGTTGCTGCAGGTTTGAAATATACCATGTGCCCTTCTCCTATTCTACCTCTACGTTCCCCCAGATCCCCCCCCCCCTTTGCAAAGGAGCAACACCCGTGAATAAGTCAGAGGTAACGATTGATTGGGAATGCTGCCGTGGTGTAACAGTTAACACTGCACTTGTAATCCAGAGGTCGCCAGTTCAATCAATTTCTCTGCGTGGCAGTTGAAACAATGGTGCAAATTTCTTAAACCCCCCCCCCACTTCTGTCCACCCAGCAGTATGATACCACCGTCGACCGGCAGGGGGTGTGTGGTGGGTAACGTGTGGCTAATTCCACCTCTTCCCAGATGTCTCGCCAGCACGGTAGCATAGGCCAAACACTCCCTCGAGGGAATGCCTAGAGCTCCCTCGAGTGGAGGTGGTTCCGACAGCAGCGGCGTGAGCGAGCAATTGAAGGGCTGCACTGCACGGGCGACCGGTTGCCTTACCGGTGCCAACTTGTCGTTCACGACGATACTGCGAAGCGAGTGCTCCAGGCGCTTCTGGTGGTTCTTGGGTCCCGCTGTCTGTGCCCTGGTCCCGTCCCGACGCTGGGCAGGGTGGGGGGGAAGGACGAAGTATGAGTTCAGTTGAACAAGGGCAGCACACGTAGACGGGCGAGGAACTGTGGCGCTCAGCAGAACCGCTCGGAAAAAAACATTACTTTGTGCCGCGTGGCTTATCGCATTTCGCTTCACGTGTTGTTCGGCATGATGTCGGACAGCAACACACGGTACAATCTAAAAAAATAAACACACTTTGGAGAGCTAAACAGTGGTTTGGCCGATCAGTAGCCCTAACCCTCTTCCCCAACCACAACCCAATCTTTGCAATATACAATTGCTATAAAGCATTAGGCATCAAACGCTACGTAAATTGTAATCGATTACAGGATTTAAGACTGTGCTAATTATTTGGTGAATCAATGTAATAGCTATGCTTTGGGGTGAACAAAACCACGCAAAACGAGACAGTAAGCGATATACAAAGAAGACGGGAAATATTTCATTTAAAAAAATAATCGGTTCTTGACGTGAAGCATGACCCAGAATTACATTCCAGCAAGTCAACTGGCAGTGTGGCGAGTTACATGGCTATTGAGTATTAATGGTTCATGTATCACTGATTAGGATCAACCTGTGTGCATAACAATACATTATTTATGACTTTCAGATATAATATGCAAATGTGCGATTAGGCTATTGGAAATATAAAGAGCAAACGAGATAGACAATACAAACCAGACAGAACAATACAAACGAGACAGACAATACAAACGAGACAGACAATACAAACCAGACAGACAATACAAACCAGACAGACAATACAAACGAGACAGACAATACAAACGAGACAGACAATACAAACGAGACAGACAATGCAAACGAGACGGACAATACAAACGAGACAGACAATACAAACGAGACAGACAATACAAACGAGACAAACAATACAAACGAGACAAACAATACAAACGAGACGGACAATACAAACGAGACGGACAATACAAACGAGACAGACAATACAAACGAGACAGAACAATACAAACGAGATAAACAATACAAACGAGACGGACAATACAAACGAGACAGACAATACAAACGAGACGGACAATACAAACGAGACGGACAATACAAACGAAACAGACAGACAATAGAAACGAGACAAACAATAGAAACGAGACAGACAATAGAAACGAGACAGACAATACAAACGAGACAGAACAATACAAACGAGACAAACAATACAAACGAGACGGACAATACAAACGAGACGGACAATACAAACGAGATAAACAATACAAATGAGACAGAACAATAGAAACGAGACAGACAATAGAAACGAGACAAACAATAGAAACGAGACAGACAATAGAAACGAGAGAGACAATACCAATGGGACAGACAATACAACGAGACAGACAGTACAAACGAGATGGACAATACGAACGAGACAGTGCCAACTGGGTACTCAATAACCACTCTGGAATCTAATCGTGACCCACGCCCATAACCAAACCCACGAGGGCCCCCAAATCAGTTCTGATTAACGGACGCAAAGTAGTTATTTTCAATGCAGTCGCTCTCTCAACTTAATCGATTGTATCATTGATGAGATCTCTGTCAGAGGGACACAAATGGAAATTAAACAATCAGAATGTGTATACAAGGTACAGCTATTCAAATGGGAACGGAAGAAACATTGTAAATGACAGCATGATGATGTGTTTGTGGAAAATGAACTGGGCCAAATGAAGAACTCTTAAAAATTTTTTTACCGGGTAAGACTCACTGAGCTATTAGTGCTCTTTCAGAAGCGACATGGCCACAAGTGAAAGCACTACGAAGTAGCTATCACGTGGAATTGTATAGCAGCCAAGTACTCTGCAACCTCTTACCCCTAATCCATAACAAATACTTGAATCAATGCATGCCACCACCTGCTGTCACATATGACGGAATGGCAGCCCAACGAGGGAATAGGTCCAAGAGCACGTCTACTGTGGAACCGGAGGGACGCAAAAGGGCGATTGTAACTATGCGTGAACATGAGGAATGGTGACGGCTTGGGGATTCTTTGATACAGCAGTGGATAGACCGTGGCTTATGATGAAGAGGCCCAACTCCCCAACTGGCTTTGTGAGGCAAATGTTCAATTGCTCAATTGCCAATTATAATTGCAACTGGGACTTACCCGGTACTGCTTTGGTTGACATCACGGATTAAGGGTTATGTTTAGAGATAAAAGCCAAGCTGAAGTGATTACATTAAAAGTTATGGATTAGGGGTAAGAGGTTGTAGAAGGGAGGTTAGGGGTCACTAAATGGAGTGCTGGAGGTAGGGATTATGGGCCAGTGGCCAGGATTAGGAGGCGGGGGAACGGGGATCATGGTCAAGGATCAGGGCTCGAGCCAGGAGTAGTGAACGAGGGGCAGCAGGGATGTATGTATGTATGTACGTTGAACTTCTTTGGCATGGACGAGATATATGGCAGAGATGTGATGGTGGCAGGGATGCGACGGTAGCAGGGATGCGACGGTTGGAAAGGATGCTACGGTGGCAGAGATATAAGAGTGACCGTGTCAGAAAAGCGCGAGCGGGCAGTGGCGGAGATGGGCGTGCGCCTCTCACCTCAGTCGAGTTGCGTGCGATCGCCGCGGCCTCTGTGCGCCGCACCCGCTCCAACTCCACCTCGCGCGCTATCAGCTGCCGCATCTGGTATGACAGCTGCTTGCGCTGGGGCAGGCTCGGGTAGCGTGCCACCGCCTCCATGTTGCTGCGCATGCACCGACAGGCACGGAGATAAATCGATGGAATCGGTGTGAGCTTGTTAGGACGTGGTAACAGGTCGGTAAACAAGGCGTGCGTGCGGCGTCAAAATTAACCAACCGTTTTGGAAATTCGGAAAGATAACAAAATGTTTAACTATTTCAAAAATAAATAAAAATGTTATTTAGTTTTCCGGGTAAGCATCGCTGAACACCCTTTATACAGCAGCGGTCGGGAGGCCCAAGGTCATGGCATAGAGCCAGCACCGCTGAGATGCTGGGTTCGAATCCAGGCGGTCGCCTGTGATTTTTACCATCTTCTCAAGTGTAGAGTTGATGGTCACAGGCCCAGGCCCAATTACTTCAGAAAAAAAATCCATCATGCTATATTTGTTCTGCACCTAATTTGTCTGAATGTCAGCTCTGAGAATTAAATATTAGTTTGACTGTCATGTCACAAACAAATGGGTAACGGCTTCCTTCAACTGTGTGGACCAGAGGTCACATGAAAGAGTCTTTGAGGCAGCTCTGATATCCGCTTCAGTGGGATGCTCTCTAATACTAAGGGCTGCACTGCTTTGAGAAATATCTGAATGTTTATCAAGGTGAGAACTCAAGTGACCAGGGTGAGTCTCATTTTCAAGAGTGACCTGGTCTCATGATGTGACACCAAAAAGCACAATCAGTATAAAATTAGGGGAAAAAGAGAAAACTCTTCTATATGATGGGTTCTGCGGAAAGATGACTGGCCAATCCATTTTAAGAAATGTTCCCCATCTGGGAGGACTCTTAATAAAGAGTTCCCAGACCCCCAACTCTAGCGCCACGCACACACAAAAAAGACACCACACCACTGAGCACAATAAGACGTTCCTCAATTATCCCAACACAACCCTGTGAGGGTTAAAACACCACATTCTCGCTAGCAGGACAAAGCCATCGCCTGCGAGTCCAGACGAGCGAGAGTAATTGTCACAACCCAACGGGTTCCTGTACGCGCCATCACCTCACAGCTTTTTTTTTTTTAAATCACAGTTGCTGAGCACGGGCCCAAATGGTCCCCAAAAAACTCCAAGCGGCCAGCAACAAAGAGCACCGTTGGCAGCGTAATAGACGAAGAGCGAATGCATTTCTTGATATCGGCAAGGGTATAAGGACTTGGGTAAAGAGACGGTGGGGGGGAATTTAAAATTCGAGCGGTTCGAGGGAAGAAGCAGACAGAAGAAACAGTCAGCGCCGTAGACCGAATCCTCAGGAAGGAAGTTCACGGGAATGGTAACCACAGTTGTAGTGATACGTAGACGACTGACTGCAACTGAGCGAGTGAAGGCAGTGAGAATCAGCGAGCGCTGAACCTTCAACGAGCCCGATCGCTTCACGGCGTTCCGGGTACGGCGCCGGCATCGGCGCCACCAGCGTGGCTCCTGTTGGCCAGCTCGGCCCCCTCGTTGAGCACGAGCTGCTGCATGTGCGCCGGCATGTAGAGGAAGGTGTAGATGAGCAACAGCACCAGCAGTGCAGCGGCAAGCGGCAGGCCCCAGTCCGTGATGACAATGGGCTCCTGGCACCGTGCTTGGAACATGCCGCGGCGTGCGCGGCCCCGTGCGCAGCGGATACCTTGCCGAGGATGCGTCTCAAGTCGCCGGCTCTTCGGGGGGGTTTAGCTAAACGCGCCAGCGGCTCAGATTGGATCGAGCGGTAAACGAGCGCTTACATTAAGATGCAAAACGGCAGCATGGTTTTCCGAGAGCGGGCCACGGTTTTCTAAGAAAGAAGGTTTTTTTGTTTCTCGATTGCCGCCGCTGCCATTTTTCGCTGCTCTTCGTGGACTTCTGACAAACCGATTTGACGAGGGTGAATAGCGGAAAGTAACAAAAGGCGGCACTACGAGTAGGTATCTGCAAGCACGAATGCTGACTTCAACTGATGGGCAGAGTGAGAGCTGCCTCAATTCGTGACTCTGGCTGCGCTTTTAAGTCAAAACAGCACATGCACCTACACAAGTATACACGCACACCTTCTTCATACACACTGCCACAGCATTACGACGGAAATCCCCATGCGAAATGAAGCATTTCAGCAGCCCCGCCGTGAACAACGTCTTTTCTCTTCTCCTGAAGACAAAGGTCGAGCTGTCAGGAGGGACGGAAGACTGCTGGCTGGACCCAAGTCTCCACACACTTGAAGATTAATCCAACGTGCTGTGGCCACGGTCGCATGAGACAACGAAGAGTCAGGATATCTCTGCTTCAAATGAAACATCGATGGATTTTAGTAGAAATATATTTGCCGGTGTCGGTTTAGCTGCTTTTTCCCGCTCTCCATCTGAAGCGCTAAGATCCCTCTCTTCCCGTCCGACGGATTAACACTGCTCGTGAAAATGTCCTTTATGTAAGGTATTCCCTCTCCCTCCCGTCGTCTCTCTCCGTCAGTCGTACACACACGTGCACATACACGCGAGGGTAATCTGGCACATGTGAGTGCGCATACGCACGCACATGCTTTTCCGTGACGAGCCATCGTCGAAACAATCTGCTGGTGCGCACGTGGCGGCAGCTTGTGTCGCCCATAAACCCAAATGACATCCACGGGACAGAACGTGGGGCCCGCGCTCGACTTCCGCCGTCACGCCAACGGTGCCGCTTGTGTCATGTACGCGAAGACCAGGGTGGCAAAGACGGAAAGGGGACATGACACCATTTTTAAGTGAGTGTAAGATGGGAGGAGTGGTGAGAGGACAAGAAGAATTGACACTTCATAGTTAGGGTCAAGGGCATATCCCTTCAGCGGCAATCTCTGGAGAGGGCGGCCCCAATGGCGAGTGACCTTCCATTGCCACAGCCGTCACTTCCCCACTCGCATGGTTAATTCCACACCAAGGTGACGACTGGCAGAGGGAAAGGTTTGCTCGTGTTATTTTTATGGCCCGTAAAGCGCCAAATCATTCGTAAGAGAGGGCCCCGTATAAAGCTCGCAATACTCCACACACATTTTGCTGCCACCTGCCGCTCCCTTCTGCCTCCCATCCTAATCCTCTTCCATTTCCACCCGAAGACTTGAGCGTTTAAACGCCGTATTTCCTTCAGCGAATCAACGCTGGGATTAAGCGGGTGCGTTTCGCTGTTTGCGATCACTCTCTGCATGAGTCACGGCTCATGGCTTGGCAGGTCACAACAAACGCAGCCCCCCGCCCCCCCTCAAATGTTGCTGCCACTATCTGCTTCAGGCAACCTGTGGTCCGGATTAACATCAAATTCCCAGAGCCCAGGATTCAAGAGCAAAAATAACCTTTTAGGGAAATTGCTCGGATCACAGCAGCCAGAGGGGGGCCTGTGAGCCAATGGGTTGGGCTCCACAATGGGGGGGGGGGGGGCAGCAAAGCATGGTGACCTCCCTCGACGCTCCCGCCCTCCCAGTTTTAGCTGGGGAAAATCAGTCGTTTAATTAACGATGAACTTTAATAGATGCCTTTTATTGTTGTCGATTACACGGGCCCCTTTAAAAATGGTGGCCGCCCCCATACACCCTGCCCAGCGTAACAACGCCGATGGTGTCAACAGGGCCCACCCATCACCTCCAGTTCCGCGATACACACGGGAACAGAGACTTCTAATTGTCAGAGCAATTGTTTGCTTAAATAATAATCGGAGGGCCCAGTTCTACTTCCACCGGTACGCTCCACGTATGTACGTTGCACACCGTATAACCGCAGACCACACCGTCCACAACCACACGCACGTGGTTTCGATACAAGAGCCCTCTCCGTCTCAATCGAAATCGACAATCTTTGCTGCCAACAGCAGGATTCAGAGGACACTTCCGTTGGATCTTCCCGACATCCGTAGAAGACGATGTGGGGACAGGTAGCGGCTTCCCACTTCCCGCGCTCCGCACAGCCGAATGCGACCCTGAATTCGCTGACGAGCGCCGCATACGGCACCTGTCCCTTGCCTCCATCGTGATCGCGGCAGGCAGCACCTCACACAGAGGCAGTGGGCGCTTCATTTCGTGACACTTAAAAGCTTACTCTCAATATGCAGATGTCGCAGATATGGAGGGGTTTATCCAAATGAAATGGAAATTTGTTCTTCACTGTTTTTTTATTTTGGTGGTCGGGGGAAGGGAGGGTTGGCTGAAGAGAGGCAGGCCCACTCAAGAATTTGGGTAAAAAGGGGCTTAAAATTGACCAGAGAAAGCAGGGACAGATTATGAGCGTTGGAAAGCACGAGGGGGTTCATGTTGCACCCACCAACCCGTGCGATTATTGCTGCTTTGGAAAGTCCATCCGCTTAGCGTTAATTTTGAACGTATTTAGAGCGGGGTCCGAAAAACAACCATAAAGTTAAATCTGTGAAATATGCATCACGCCATTGTGTTTTTAAAAAAAGCAGTGCCACTCCATGAGTTTTCGCAGTCGTGTTGTACAGCTCTCCGATGGGTGTTTATTTTCTCCTGGCTGTACCCATGCGTTGTTTGAAATTATGTCCGATGTTTTTGCCCCACATTCTGGGAGCCTCTTCAGGAAGCGAAATGAGCGGTGCTATCTAGGAAGGATATGAGCTCCTTGATCCAGTTCCTAAAGTAGCTCCCAGAAAGTTCAGCAAAAAGTCGGACATCATGCCGAACAACACGTTACAATCCGAAAACACATGCGAGAGATCTTATATAACGGTTTTCATAAATCTTGAGCCGCGAGTGTTTAAGCACGTTGTGCGTGTGTGTTGTGGTTAGCGCGCAGCGCTACAAATCTGGCGACCCGAGTTCGATTCCCGCTCACAGCCAACACCAGTGACAATTAATTATCTGAACCGGTAACGGGCCTCCCCTAGGTCGACTCAGTCTCCAAATGAGTACCTGGTGTGGTGTGTAAACATCGCCACTGGGGAGACGAAGGCTGTCGGGCGTGATGCTGGCCAACCACCCCTTGGTGTGCTGTGCTGGCCTTCATAGGTATTTTCTAACAGCACTTGGCCCAAATGTCTGTTGAGGCGACCCGGGGGATCTTTGTATTTGTCTGTGTGCCACTGGGTAGCGGGGTGGTTGCCGCACTGCAATACAAACTTGGCAACCCGAGTTCGATTCTCGCTCACGACCAATATCCGTTACAAATATCCAAACTGGTCTTGGGCCTCCCTTCGATCGACTCGGCCTTAAATGGGGAGAATAAAGCGCCCAGGCGTTGTGCTGGCCACCCCCCCCCCCCCCCCCGCCCCCCACTCTGTGTGCTGTGCCGGCCTTCATAGGTGCCCGCTAACAGCACTTGCCCCCAACAGTCTGTACAGGCTATATAGGGGGGGGATCTTTGACTTTTTTGTGTACCGCGCACCACTCACGGGTCGAGCAGGTAGGTGTACTGTCCGTCCTGCGTGCGTTCCTGCCGGTAGGTGAGGTTGTATGCGAGCATGGTGGCCACCAACTCGGACAGCTGCTGCTTCTCCCGAGCACTGTACAGCTGCGTGTTCACCTGCCAGGGAGTGCGGCGACAACAACAGTGAAGACGGCAGAATGACGCTGGGGTTTTATAACCGTAGCCATTTGCTATTAACAGTCACAAAACTGTGACGTCTTAACATTTTGTCCTAGCCAAGACGAAGGCAGAGTAAAAAATATACATTTACAGTCATCTGTCAATCCACTGCTAGATGAAGCCCCCTACTCCCACACACCATGTTGAGCGTAGTTCTTTGATCCCCTTTCCACTGGCCAGTGCGGTGCCCTCACAATACAGGTGGTTTTCCACTGGCTTTCAACCGAGCCAGGACCAAACCGTGCTATGCTGGCCTCAAGCAGGGCCAGGTGGGCAGGCCTAATGACAGCGTTCATTGCATTGCGTGTTATGTCACCGCATCATCTACATCCGTCTCGAGTTCTGCAGCAGAAACAACAACATGGCACCTCGGCACGGCTGCAGCGTGGCTTGGTCGTGCGTGGGGACTATTTGGTTGCGGTGACTCACGGGCCGCATTTTGGGCGAGACGATGTCGAGGATGAGGCAGAGGGAGTCGAGAACGAGGGCGAGGGCTGGCACGTGGGTTCTGATGTGTGCCGACGCCTCCCCGATCATGCTCGTCACCAGGTTCTGCGACAGCGCCAGCTTCCTCTGCATCTACTCCACCAGACACGTGCCACACATGAATTTGTATGCAAACGTGCATACACATGCACCACACATTCATACGTATGCTTATACATAAGGTCAACAAGACGAGAATAGCTGTTCCCCACGTTTTAATAAATCAAGCATAGGCGATATCAGATGTCGTTAAAATGACGCCAACGTGATGACACTTCTGATGAGAAAAGCACAGAAGTGACGCGGTGGAAGTAATGTTACTTCTTGTGACATCACACTTTTGGATGAACACCGCTGCTTGGGGCCTCTGCACTAAGCAGCCATCGCTTATCCACACTCCTCTCTAAACTCCGGTCACCGCAGCTCCCCCCAGCCAACAGACACAGCACAAGACTGTACTGTCGGCAGTTGTGTGTCGTATGCTCAAATGACGAAGCTGATGAACAACATCGATTGGCCTTCGTCACCCACCAGCAGCGGCCGGCAACATCACATAATCGAGGGAGAATGCGAGCTGCTCCATTCGTCATCCTTAAGAATCTCTCAGCAAGTGGAGTAAAACGTTGGGACGTCACGCCAAAACAACAAATCCGAGCGCTGTTCCCCACCTCTACCTCCCTCTCTCTCTTGGCTATCGGACGGCTGCGCACCTCGAAGTTGCTGTTGGGGTAGTTGAGGCGTGGCGGCGAGTTGGTAGAAAACAGGAAGTGGAATGCGACGGCCACGAAGGGCAGGTAGCGCATTAGCACGTAGTTCTGGCCACGGGCGATGGAGCAGCTTGCTAGGTCCTGGAAGCAGAGCCACTCGGTGCCCAGGCACACGAGCTCCATGCGGGGGTCCTTGACGCGCGCGGCCAGGTAGTTCTCAAACAGGCCCTGCACGCGCGCAAAACGGCGTACGACGCCGGGTTTAAGGGGAGTCCGCCAAGGATGCCTTCTGCTCGGACTCGCCGGTGGACGGGCGTAGGTCCCGCTAAGGGGCGTGTTTTACCGTCGCTCACCTGCGTCAGCTTCTCGTACTCTCCGTTGGCGGAGACGAGGTGAAGCAAGCTGTGGAATCGGGCGGCGCCTGTGCTCATCGTGGCGCGCCCCTCTGTGGGGCCCACGCCGACCTCCCAGGGCGCAGTGGGGAACAGCTCACCGGCAGCGTCGCGACTCACCCGCTTTCTGTACATCACGCCACCACCGCCGCCACCATAGCAACGTCGTCAACAACAATTTAACCCGTATGCTTTAGCGACCAGTATTATTAATAGAGGCTTTTTTGTGTAAGATCGCTTAAACATAAGCGTGTCATTATCGCCACCACCAGCCGATACAGCTAATTAGTGAGGTTTATCATGTAAACTATTTTTTTTATACCAGGTAAGTCCCACCCAACTACATAGCTCTTTTTCAGAAGTGACCTGGCTATCAAAAAATGATAGCTCAACAAAGTGGCTTATCACGTGCAAATTTATAGCAGCCAAATACTCTAAAACATGTTTCTAAATGTGCAGGGAAAAACCGGAGGACCTGGATAAAAATCCATGTGACCACGGGAAGAACATACACAAGCGTCATGGACGGGACCAAACCCACGACTTCTTGTATACCGGGCGAGGTAGTTAACATCTCGCCACCGTGGCGTCCATGTGCCAGTTAGTTACTACTTCAGCATACCTGTCTGTTGGACAGTAAACCTGAAACATTTACAATTTGAGTACGACGTTTTGCTGGTAATTACAACCAGCTTCATCAGGCGATTTTGCCTTTGTCATCAACAACGATAATCGCCGTCCTACTGAAACCAATAACAATCACCGCCAACACCGCGACCACCACTTCGTACTTTTTGATAGCCCCTAATGGAGACTTGCCTGCTTACATTCAAAGCGGACACCAGACTACAAACGTACGTAACGCAGAGGAAAGCGTGGAGCAATGAACGTTGGTTTGGGTTCGTTGTTGGGTGGCGCAGTGGCCAGACTAGGGAAGGAGGGGATCGCAATCTATATAAGGCTGGAAGTTCAAATGAAGGTTTCGGAGGTTGATTCAGCCCATAACTCCTGCGGTTGAACTAAATACAAGTATCGCTTTGTGGGGAAGGCAATGGTGGTTGACCGAAAGACTCGCCTGCATCATAGAAATGGGGAATTACCACCACTGGATCAAGTATGGCCCCATGCCATTTTTAGAGGGGAAAACTTGACCAGTTTTTACAGTTTTTGGGATTACGGGCAGGGTTGTTGTTGGGGGTCTTGGTTCGTGGTTGAGTGTTGGCTGCTTGGGCTTAGCGTCGGTGCACAGCGAGCGGTTAGCGTTGGGCAGACCTGATGGTCAAGTACCATTGTGATTGTGAAAATCGTAGTGAAATGCAATGATACTGCAATTGTATTTTCATATAACAATGCTGCAGTTTAAATTGTAAAAATAATAATAGTAATAAAATTGATAATTATAATAAAAAAACACAAGATCCCTGGGTTTAATCTTTCACGAAGCTCAGTCCACCCTAAATCGCATCCGCAAAAACCATGGCAGATGCGGGTACCTGATGCATAAATGTAAAATTAAAAACTCTCCAGTAGTGTGTGACTGTGGTCATCCAGAACAGACCGTACAACATATAACGAGGCAACGCCCGACCCACAAGTAGGAAGGAGACATTGCAGCAATGATACACTCCGCTGCTACTCCTGACGCAGGTTATCTGGCTTGACCACCTGAATGTGAAATTGCAGTTGTTGCTCTGCAGCCACATGAAAGAAGAAGAATAAAACTGAGCCCAGGTCTGGTCCCGGTGGGGGTGTGTGAGAGGAGCACACCGCTGTGGCCGAGGCAGCCGGAAGATCTCCTGCCACACTGGGAAGAGCCCCTTGGTCTGGTCTTTGAGGCCGATGCTCAGGGACTGCACGGTGTGAATGTTCAGCTCACTCTGTCCCCGGCCCTGCAGGAACTGCACACGCAAAGACAAAACTATAGGAGGGAAGGGCAACGAGCTGGAGGGAAGGGCGGGGAGCAGGAGAGAAGGGCAGTGAGCTAGAGGGAAGTACGGCAAGCCAGTCAGGCTCACCTGCAGGGTGTTGATGCATGAGCGGATGTCGTTCTCGGTTTTCTCACAGAGAGCCAGGAGCACGCCCATGTCCACGTGGAGGCCCTGCAGGCTCGAGATCTGGCCTCGCCCAGAGAAACGCAACACAAAGCAGGAGGCACACAGAGGCAGTTGGCCTACCATGGCGTGCTGCAAAGGGACAGCTCCCAATGGAAGTCCCCTGCCGCCTGGTGCCTCGGGGTGTAACGCATGGGAGTCGTAGAGTAAGCATTAAGCGATGACGATGACGACGATGACCAAAGTGGGTGTCTGTCATGGCGCAATGTTTCCGGGTACCTCGAGGAGTCTCTGTGCGAGTCGCGATGGCATGGTGGGCGGGAAAGCGAGTGTGAGCGCCTGCTGCCTGAGCGGCCTCAATGCAGGTGTATACCTGGGTGACAAAAACACAATGATCCCCCACAGACACACAGACCATTGGGGCTCGTGCTGTCGGCAAGCACCTATGAAGGACAGCACGGCGACGCAGAATCACAATTACAAAGATCCTCCGCATGTAGTCATTCAGACTTTATTAGTGATCGCACATTAAGGCCAGAATGGCACATGAGGAGGTACTGTGGTTCAATCAAGTACCACACCAAACTGTCTTTGTCACTCCCACTAAGTGGATGTTCAAAACCCCGAGACAACGCAAGCTGTGTGGGCGGGACATGCGACCGCCGCCCACTCACAGATCGTTGCAGATGCAGATGATGGGCCTGAGCAAGAGGCCTCCCTCTTTCTTGCGCCGTCGGCCCCCTGTAGCTGCTCCCCCGGTCTCCTTGGTGTCCTTCCGGTTCACGAGGGTCAGGAGGGTGGTGATGGCCGCCTGAAATAGCGTGCAAAGGAGCGGAGGTTCTTTAAGCTCACTTTGCCACGTTGGAGCATTTCACTAGGGCAAATAAGGGCATATGTACTGATTTAAAACCAGCCTATGATTTGGTCTGTCACAATTCTGAAGGTCGTGACTAGATTCCAGAGTAACACTACAAATAATTTGATTGATACATATGATCAACGCGTTGACACCTGCCTCATAAAGAAACGAATGGCAATGCTCTCAAGTTCGCATCTTATCCTCACGACTAGGAAAATGGAATCCAAGGAAAAATAATTTCGACGCACAGCGTAGAAACGTCATGTGCGACAGAACGCGGGAAATCCCCTTCCCCGAGCTGTCAAACCCTGCAGCGTCTCCCAGTGTGCGTGCGTGCAATTGAGCGGGCAAGGTGAGTGCGGTGCTCACCAAGGGCGCCCCGTCCACCTCGTCGATGACGAGGCAGTTAGGCCGCTCACTCGCACCCAGCACCGACTTCATCTGCGTGGCCGCCTCAATGCGCGTGCGGAACACCTCGGGGCTCCGGTCGTCGCTGGGAACGGCGTGTAAAGCAAACTCACCCTCAGGGGTGTACACTGAAGTCATTGATTAATTACACCAGCGCACACAAAAAGCTATTTACTTATCGCAAGCGTCGTTAATCTGCAACCCAGATTAGTCTGTCCACGTGTAATAAAATTAACCATAACAGTGATATTGACACATTTCGGTCCTCAAACGTTGGTACCACAAGGGGGACACACTCACACGAGACACGTGCGAGGAGCGGCGCCAAGACACGGCATGCGCAAGTGGTGCTGCGTGCGTACCTGGCGTTCATTTCCACGACGTTGTAGCCGGCATGATGCGCCACCACGTGCGCCAGTGTTGTCTTACCCAGCCCGGGAGGCCCACACAGCAGCACCACCTGGCAAGCGGTGGGAGTGTAAAATCCGGAAAAGTCGAAAAGAAAACAAATTAGTATAAAACGTGTTTTTCAACAAAATCAGATGACAACTTAATTTGATTTGTTCTGTTGGGAGGTGGAGTGGTAAAGTTAAAAAGTGATCTAACCAAACATTTTGGAACAGCCTTCTTTCTAGAACTGAAATTTGTCAAGATCACATCACTTGTTACATGCTTTTTTTACTCTTGAGGGCAGTATTAAATTAAACAATTTGTATTTTAGTAGGTAAGGCCCACTGAACTATTAGCTCTTTTTAAGAAGTGACCTGGCCACAAGTGATAGCTCAACGAAGTGGCTTATCATGTGGAAATTTATAACAGGCAAATACTCTAAACGCATGTTTCTAAACGCGTAGGGAAAAAATGGAGGACCCGGAGAAAAATCCACGCGACCACGGGGTGAACATGCAAGCTCCAAATATACAGGCGTCTTAAGGGTCGGGATCGAATACATGAACCTCTTGTATACCAAGCCCAACGACATTACCGACGGACATGTTGGGTTTTGTCATTGGTACTCTTGGCCCACGGCTCATGCGGTACGATATCGTACACGGGTGTGTTTGTTTGACCTTGTACTTGGGACGGTTGTGTGCATCCAGCTCATCCTCCAGGATGTCCTCCGTGATCTGAGCTTTGCTCTTCCAGTTCTAACGAGACACAAAAATCACTCCTGATAAGTACATCTGGTGTTCACACCATTCTTATGGCACATGGCTATTGTCAAAGCCCTATAGTCTACAGCCGTTGCAAAGTCGCAGGCAATGTTGCTGTGCATAATTCCAATAATAATTTGCGAATAAATAAAAATGTGTTGTTACGGCATAAAGGCCAAAATGTGAAATATAATACATTTGAATACATTAGTGTCCATTTATAAATTAAAATTGTAATGTGTCGTATGTGTCTTGCAAAAGACACATTTGCATCTCAAGGTGTAAAATTTTCCCAGGAAATCCTCACCGAGTCTCACAACTCTTTTTTTAGGAGCGTCCTGCCTTGGGATGCTTGGCAAAATCCCATTGAATGACACGGCAGGGGGCGCAGTGTGCTGCGGCACCACTACACAATACGAGACCCAGGCGGCACGGCAATGAACACACCTTGTTGGTGCCGCCACCCTTGCGAGTCCAGCCCTGTTGCTTCTCCCACTCATCCCTCGGCAGCCACTCGCCCTTCTTTTTTTTCTGCGCCCACTGCTGCCTGCTGTCACCCCGTTTCTGCTGTTGCTGCTGCTGCGGCTGCTCCTCATTTGCCGTCACGGGCGGTGGCTTCTTCTTCCTCTCGCGGCCGAACACGACCATGTCCCACAGCTTGAGCCACTTGAGGAGGCAGCGGTTCATGTACTGAAGCACGGCAGGATCAGGGGTGAGAACAGAGGGGTCAGGCACGAGGAGCGTACCGACACGTCTGTTCATCAACAACCGTATTTTCTCGATTGAAAGATGCCACCAAAAGTAACACGCACACCAAAGTCCGATGCCCGTTGACAATAAAGTTATACTAAGTTATGCAGGATTCTGGTTGTGCATGGTGTTGGTTGATATGGTGCTGGCTGTGCAGGGAGAGCAGGGGAATTCACATCGTCGCTGAGCAGCTCCGTGTAGTGCCGTGGGGTGAAACGATCAACCCAGAGCCCCGTGCTCTTTGTCCCATCGTCACCATCCACCTCGTCTCCGCCTCCATCATCATCACCGCCACCGCCCTCACCACCCAACTCCTCCGAGTCCTCGATCTCCTGAGCTACTCGGCTGTCATCCGAACCGCCAGGGTCAGGGGTCAAGCGTCATCGCGGTGAAACGTTAACATATTTAAAACATCCATGAAAACGCAGGCTTAGTGACGCCACTAAAATACTCTGCAATTGTCAGTGCTTTTAAAACATACGTTCACATTTTTACAGTGTATTCATGATAAGCGCTACTTGCGTCCATACCTGCTCGTTAATGAAATTGATGCATAAGGACAAGCGATTGCTGTCTTGAAAGTGTAAATTAAGCGAGTCCGTGTACGCACCTGTTAAGCAAAGTGACGAATCTCTCAGCCTCTTCCAGAACCTTCGCACGCTTCTGCACATTTCAGACGGCACAAGGCGCGCAAACGATGAAATGCAACTATTTTTATTTTACCAGGTACGGCCCACTGAGCTATATAGCTATTTTTCAGAAGCGACTTGGGCTCTCACAAATGATAACTCAACATCACTTGGAAATGTATAGCAACCAAATGGTATGAAGATGTGAGATTCATCACAGATTTATGCTCATCAGAGAATTCTAGAGCTGGGCTCTCCGATTACACTGGTCTACAATGTTTTAGACGTCATCTGCTTCAGAGATTAAATGTGCTGTTTATTATGGTTTTTAATGTGCTGAATTAAAATGACAATTAGAACAACTGATGGGCTACTGTCCCCAAGATATTAAAATTTTTACATTTTACGCCTATTCATAATTAAGGTTTTTGGGTTAGATCGCGTTATTTATAAATGTGTCGTAACCCTCCACCACCCGACACGGCCAATCAGCAAAAAAGTGTCACGTTGACAAAAGACAAATAGTTCACTACTTTAGCACACCGGTGTGTTGAAGAGTGAATCCACAACATTTACAGTTTGAGTACGACGTTTCGCTGGTAATTGCATCCAGCATCATCGGGCAATTTGCTAGAATGGTAAAGCCCTCGCTTGCTCCCGGTCTTAAATAGAGCAGCAGCAGGGTGACGTCATCATTCAACTCATTTCAGGTGCAGTGATTTGAGGTGGGGGGGGGTATTGCAATTATATAATCGATTGGTAATCAGTCAATGGTTATGATTAGTAATGAGTTGTAGATTAGTAATTAGCTGTAATGTGTGTTATTGTGATTATATGCTACGTTAGTAATCCGTTAATTAGTATTTTTCTCCTATAAGGAATTGTAATATGTATTAATTAATAATACGCTTCCAAGCCGCACTAAGCCTGTAGCTGTCAGAGCGATTAAAGTTATTTCTATTCCTCTCACTTTCAATGGATTCTCTAATTAGTCTTTGCCAGTAATAATTAGTTTTACACAACACTTCAACGTTATCAAAATCAATTGAGTGTCCTTGTTGACAAGCATGTTCTGAATAATATTGGTCGCGAAAGCCTACGTGTTAAACTGATTTTACGTCTAGATATATTGTGTAGATAGTAGAGTTTTACTCATAAATTTTAAACATAGGTATTTTCATGTGTTTATGGTTGCTTTACATGATAACATGTCACCTGTCCTGTTCATGTAACACTTAAAACCCTGGAGAAGGCTGTTGTCCTTTCCCCGCACCTCCAAATAGCACACGGTTGGCTACGTACGGCACGAAAGATGTTCAACATATGTAAATACATATAGATAGCAGCCGATAAGAGCAAGGTGCGTTGGACAACTCACCTCCCTAACTACTTGGTCTTTGAGCATCTCGAACGGCACGCTCAAAAGCTGCAGCGACATTTGGCTCCGGAACATCAAGTCTGGATTCTGTCGAAATACAAAAAAGTTCGCAGCTGCACATGATGACGAAGTTGACGAGAACATGAGATGGAAGCATTTTGCAGCCTGCAAAGCAAAACGGTTCTGCTCTTGTAGATGGGCACCCAGACCAGTGATAGGGAACCTAGAGTGAGCCATGTGAGTGGCCTCCCCTTCACCTCAGTGGGCTGCGAGCTTAAAAATGTGCGTGTGCCCTAATCGTGACCCCACACATACACGTGGAAACGGGGCGCATTTAGCAAAACTGTACAAAAGAATCACATCGTATATTGTACAATATCATGCCATCGTCATATTGCAGGTACTACTTATTCAGAGAATTATTTCGGATCTTTTTTTACATTTTGGGATCGTCACGTGACACCGGGTGTCACGTGACGTTATGTGACGTAATGGTCACATAACGTCAGAGGTCAAAATGGACCAGTACATGATGGGCACTACTCAACACCAAACGTGTATCACGTCATCATTCCTGACAAATCCAAACCGATTTTTCGTTGTTGCTCAGAATGGTCCGAAATCTTGGATCAGAATGATCTTTATAATAACAAATCCCTGCTAGACTAGGTACGCTATCTACAAACTCAAAAGCTGCGCGTCGTCGCGCGCACCATGGGAGCCGCGTGGCTGCTGCTGTCCGCGCCCAGCGCCAAGTAGTAGCGGTCGCCACCCGGCACCGTCACGTTCACAAAGTCGTCCGTCACAGGCGGCCGCTTCAGGACCCGCTTCCTCTCCACGTCATCAGCCACCGCGACGGTCGCCACGGCGTCCGCGGTGATCGATACCGCCCGCTTGGGTTGGTTGCCGCGTCTACTGCAGCACAAGTAATGCTTATTCCAGTTCATCGTATGGCAAGGTGAAATTTGCAGCTTTATTGGTGTATATCGCGATTATTAAGCCGTTCAATAGCCTCTGTAGAGGGTTGGTGGAAGTCGGTGATATTGCCCGGTGATTTCATAGCTCTTGTCTATCCACTACGAGGTGAGGCCTCCTGACGTACCGTTGGCTCTGAGGGGATATTTCACCACGCTTGACAGTGCTGGTAGGTGGTGGGAGCAATGCAGAACAATGGATATTGCTGCACTACTCTCTACTGCCCACAATGCCAATCACATGTCTTGTTTAGGTGGCACAGTGGTTACACGTGTGCCCCATAACAAGAAGTAATCTGGAACCGGGCGCCTTTCCACGTGGAGTTTGTATGTTCTCCCGCTGTTCTGCATGGGTTCTCTGGTTTCCTCTAACAGCAAACAGCATGGAATGTTATTTATCTGTGATACACATCCCAAGGCAGGAGCCTCTTGAAAAAGAGTATTTGTACTTGGTGTGGCTTTCCTGGGTGCATGGATAATGATACATTATAGTATATAATGTATTCTTTGGATCTTTCGGTAAAGTTATGTGGAGAGGTCGAAATTAATTAAAAATAAAATAAACAAAAAAACTACTTTTTTACGTGACTTTCCAGAAAATCCCAAAGAATATGAATTCCTACAGTCACGAAAGCTTTAAGTCTAGTATATAACGTGTTTGGAAGTTTCAGAGACCTCTGTGCAATCCACTAACCCTCACCTCCAAAACGCTGGGATTCACAGGCCTTCGCGACTTTCGCCTGGCTCACAGGGCCAAATGCGAGCGGTTTATTGTAAAGGTCCACCAGCATACTACTACTGGGCACCATGTCCGTGCGTGTCCGTGTGTGTATGTGTGCGGATATAAAGCACAGCAAGTTGGCACAGTAGGGGGCACAGGTGGTGCATCAGCCAGCCGTCTCAGTCAGTCGACCTGTGGCATCTGGGTCTGCCCCGTGACCTCCTGCCAGCGGGCGTTTGATACTTCACATGGCCTCAACGTGCACATAGCCTGGCACAAGTGTCGTGATGACGTCACTGCCACTTAGTGTCGAATGGCGGTTGCTGTTGTTGTGTGCGCATGTGCGAAAGTGTAGCGGTTAGCAAACCGGGCGGCCCGAGTTCGATTCCCGCTCACGGTCAACACCAGTGACGATTATCTGAACTGGTTCTGGGCCTCCCCAAGATCGACTCAGCCTCAAATGAGAACCTAGTGCGATGTGTAAACATAGCCACTGGGGGGACAAAGGTGACCGGGTGTGGTGCTGGCCACCCACCCCCTTGTGTGCCATTTTGGCCTTCATAGGTGCTCGCTAACAGCACTATAGTAGGGGAGCTTTGCCTTTGTTGTGTGCGCAAACGAACGCGGACGCACTCTGCCTGCACGTCGGGCGGGGAGACGTCGAGGTAGTGGAAGCCGCTGAGGTCGTTGTCGTGGCTCCCGCTTGACTCATCCCCGGGTTGGGAGGCCACCGGTTGGGTGGGCGCAGGTTTGGGCAGGAGATCGGCCGTAAATTCCAGCCGCTTGATGGCATCCAGTCGGGGCCTCTTGCGCTTGGGCGCTGCACGACGGCAACCACGAAGCGGATTAGTCTTGGGGCCTAATTGCTGCAATGCATCGTAGCGTGGACCGCCACGGTGGCGAGATATTAACTCACCATCGCGAGTATGCTGGACCTGTGGTCGCGTGGATTTTTCTCCGGGTCCTCTGGGTTTTCCCTCCATATTTAGAAACATGTGTTTTGAGTATTTGGCTGCAATAAATTTGCACATGATGATGAGCCACTTCGTTGCACTATCATCTGTAGCCAAGTCGATTCTGAAAAGAGAGCTGAATAGCTTGGCGTGCCTTACCAGGTAAAATAAAAAAAATAGGATGTAGTTTATAGTATTGGCACAGCCATGCTGTCCTGGAGGTGAATATCTGATGCAAAAGCTCCACCACAGACGTGGCCACGCCCAGTTCTAATTCATAGCAGAGCCTCTGGTGAATATCGCCAACTTTATTCCGGGCACACTTGTACAGGTCTCGACACGTAATCTCCTATAACCCGTTTAAATTTTGAGCGTAGGCAATTTCACGCCAGCGGAATGACGAGAGCAAGGTGGGCGTTGGAGATGCGGCGATTGAAATGGGACCTCTTTTAATGTTCAGTTCAGGCTGCTTTGCAAGGCAGATGTGTGGAATACCTTAGAAGAGATACGCCTATAAATAAATAAAAACACAGAACACAAAAAAGGGAAAGTGCAGGCTCAAAAACCCAAAATGTCAAGTGGCTAGGAACACACAGTACTATTGATGGTATAACATATCAAAGTTAATCGATTTCTTGAATTGAGCAATAATAATCATTTACATATGTAAGGCATATTTCATCCGTAGATCTCAATACGCCGTGTAAGGAAAGCAGGAAATCAACAGAACCAGGGTAAACGGCGAAAACTAGGTGGTTAAAGGCCAATTTAAATAGGTGAGTTTTCAAGCCACCAAGGAAGTAAGAACGTGCAAAAATAAACTATTGGACCTGAATTCCACAGTCAAACAGTCTGAAGCAGTCTGAAGGAAGAAGCCGAAAGAGAAGTGTTTGTGACCTGCAGTGTGCTGGTTGAACAGAGTGTGGACGAGACGAAACGGGTCAGTCTGATAGATCGAGCCCTCAAAATTGAGCGTGGCCTGCGTGCAGTTGGTTTGGTGGTGGGTGGGTCGGTGCGTTCTTACTAGAAGGGTCTCTGACGGCACTCGCCAGCATGTCTTCCGCGTCCCTCTTGCTGGAGTGGACCTCTCCGGATCCGGGGGGATTCATGGGGGCAGCGCTGGGCCTCCCGGCCCTGACGTCCCCTGACTGGAGGGCCTCCTCGAAGGATGTGGGCTGCACATCGCGACGGGCGACCCGAGGCTCTTCCTTTTTTCGGGTCGACTCTGCGAGCATAAATGGCAGCAATTCATCAGACAGGACTGGATAGTAATGACCAACAAGACACGTGGGCCAGCGACCTTTATCTGACGGGAAGAGAAAATAATTGTGATGATAAATGGCACGTTCCAACAGAAGATGGCTGTTATATGCGCTTCTCAATAAAGGTTGAAAGTCCATAAAACGTTTTTTTTGGTTTAGATCGCGTAAATATACGTGTCGTTTACCTGCCACCACCCAATGCAGCCAATTAGTAAGGTTTGTCACATAACCAAAACGTGCCAATTACTTACTAGTTCAGCACACCGGTGTGTTAATAGAGAAAACTCACAACATTTACAATGTTAATGCATTCGCTGTCTGTCTGCAGAGGGGGTTGGGGTCACGATATCTCTCGTAGAGAACACCCAAGATGTGATGTAATTAGGGACTTACCCTACAGAAACCAGAAAGGGTGGAAATCCAGATTTAATTTATGTGCGGAGACAGAATGGAGTTCTGCTTATGCAGTACTGTGTACGCTTAATCCAGAATGCTCCATAATGCACAAGCCAGTACGTTTGTATACCTGTCAACCCCTTATCAGTGCCTACCTTATTACAGACCAATTCAGACCTTATTGGTCACCCCGCTCTCCTTATAAATATCAATGTTCATCCTACAACGTCCCTTCACAAGGAAGAATCACAAATAGACAAAAACATTTTGTCCGTATTAAAACAGCTGTACGCCGCATGGACCTGCAAACTCAATATCCCTGTGCAATACAGGTAAACCATATGGGTTGATAGGCATGCACTACACTACCATACCTGTCAACCTCTTATAAGTAACTACCTTATTACAGACCAATTCAGCCCTTATTGGTCACCTCGTGCCCTTATAAATCTGAACGTTCATCCTACAAAGTCCCATCACAAGGGAGAAACACAGATGTTTAAAAAAAATGCCCGTATTAAAACGCCTGTACGCCGCATGGACCTAAAAAAAACTCAATGTACCTTGCACAAGAATACGGGGTAAACCGTGATGGGACGACACGGTTATGCGTTTGGGTCGATTCGGCCCATCATCACCCCTGGTCACGAGTTCAAATGTGCGGGTCAACTCAGCAGTTGGTTGCCCTATGGATAGCCTCGTCCCCTCCCCTGCCATAGGAATGCGACATTTCCACCGCTGGCTCTGCAGGGCTGCTGACCGGGAGTTTGAGCACCCCCAGTGCCCCAATGTTCGCTCTCGTGACCTCTGCGGGTCTGGGGTTAGGCCACGTCGCGAGAAGGGAATGACGATACGGGCGACGGTCCAGAGCCAACGACGTGGTGCCAATTCTAATTACGACAGCGCCATTATTATTCCACCGTCTGATCAAGAATCGTCACTTTTTTTTCCTCTCTGTGCTATTTAGGGGCCATTGCCAGAAACGTCGTCTATTATACAGTGTATATATAACCGTGTTGGCGATGGAGTCTATTTTGTATTTCACTTTGGTTATGAACAGTGTTAGCATCAGAGTGTACGTCCAACGCGAGGAGATGGAGCGACGAAATCAGCTGGCGTGCAGCTCGGTGGCTTGGGCAGGGAAGCCCTTCATCCAGCGGCGGATAGAGCACGGCCGGCGGATAGAGCACGGCCGGCGGATAGAGCACGGCCGGCGGATAGAGCACGGCCGGCGGATAGAGCACGGCCGAACGGAGCACGCACCGTGGTCGAACTCCATCAAGACTTCCAACTCGTCCGCGTACTCGTCCTCGAACTCGTCGAAGTAGTCCCATTCGGCCATGGCGAGAGAGTTGCTTTCCTTTTTACGATGCTCGTGTACGCGTAAATGTGAGCGCTGCGACGTTTATAAACGACGACGTTCACGGAGGCCGCTGCTTGCTGTTGCTTGCTGCTGCTGCTGCTTGTGGCCGCCGCCGTCGTCACCGCCGCGCGAATTTGGCGGGAAAACTTTGCGCGCGCTATCTCCGCCCACGGCGCGCCTGTTGATTGGCTTGTGGCTCGCCGTGGGCGGGTGCGACGAAAGGCGAGCGTCGGGATTGGCCGCAACGAAAGCCACGTGGGAAGTAGCAAGATGGCGTCGTCGCCCCCCCCCCCACCGCGAACAACTCCCCCGCCAACAACACCCCTCCCCGTCAACCCCCCCCCACCAACAACCCCCCCGTCACCCCCCCCCCGCAAACAACCCCCCCCCGTCACCCCCCCCCGCCAACAACCTCCCCGTCACCCCCCCCCGTCACCCCCCCCCGCGTGACGTCAGCGCTGGCACGTCATTGGCGCGCGACCGCTCGGCCGGGGCTATGTGGGCTGATCGGTGGCGTGTGCGTGGTAGTGGGGGGGGTCTCCGTTGCTTTGCCCGATTATGACGCACCGCTGTCGCCGGCTCTGCGGTTTCATTTAACACGCTTTTATTTAACTCGTTTAAATTAAAAACGTTGCGGTGCGAGTCTCGTAGTCCGGCCGGTGTGTGAGCGATAGTGCGCGTGTGTCTGTGTGTGTCGCCGGACAGATTTGTACAACTCTATTGACACCGAATACACACACAGACAAGAGTTCGGGTTGCGGCGTCTTACTTTCCGGAGCTCCGGAGAATGCATTCGTGCTTTTAGAGTGGACTGATCCATTCATGGATATTTTAGGTCCAGCCCTGGTTGCTGCGGCTCTCTGAAGGGCTCTGGGCCAGCCCTACATTGCTCGTTGATTTCTCAATCGGCCCGACTTTCACGTCCAACCCTGTTTCCTGGAGGTGTCCACACCCCCACCCCCCCACACAGTTTTGTCACGTTGGAGGTCCCTGGTCTAAGTTCCTGGATGCTGAGGCTTGAGGCTTCCGTAATCCCAGCGCCGTTTGCTGGAGCTCCCCCCCCCCCCCACCCACCCTGCTCCAATGTCTTAATGCTGGAAGAGGTCCCTGGCCCCCTCCAAATTCCTCGTTGATGCTGGGGGAGCCCTGGCGTACGCATGGAGGCGGCGCGACTTGAGCAGCTGTCCGTGCTGCTGGAGGACGCCGACTATCTGGTGCTGGACAAGCACTGGGACTTGCGCATCGACAGCACGAGGCCCCGCGAGACGCTGACCGTGCAGCAGCAGCTCCGCCACCGCTACCCGCAACTCCTCGACCCCAGCACCCGCCACGGATTCAGGTGTCGCCTGCTACACAACGAACCCCCCCCCCCCCCCCAAACTCACCCCTTGTCGCTTCGACTACGTCGCCAGAGGAACCCAAAGTCCACCAAGTCGAGCTACAAAATTGCCAAATGGACAACACTGGGAGAGATTGCCAAGCGGTGCAGTGTTTCTTTTTGTCACGCAAATGTTATAAAGGTGCAGCCCTGCAATTCCTTGCTCACACCACCGCTGGCGAAAGGGTCTCCCGCTCTCTAGAACTCACTCTCGTGGGCATTCTTGGCCTCACTCCACGCAGGCCAGACGTCTTTAAAGAGGTGGGAGTTGCCCACACTTTACCCCATCACCACCACAACCTGCCCCATTGACCGACTGTTGATGGACAGTACCCATGTATACTGCCGGGTGACAAGAGGCGAGGATATTTGAAAAAAAAACTTGCCCCGTTGTTTCAACTGCCGCACCAGCAGAACGAAACGGTGGGACCTATGGATTGCAAGTCGTGTGTGCCAACCATTGGCACAACGCGTATGAGATTATAATGCACCCAAGCTATTTCCATCCACATTTAGAAACATGCGTTTAGATTTGAAGCGTTGTCTCACCTGATGACGATTGCTTGTGTTGCGATCGAAACGTCGTGATCTATTATTTTTTCTACCTATGTGACTTTACCGAAAGAACCACAGAGTATGCGTTTAGATTATTTGGCTATTTACACGTGAACAAGCCACTTAAAGGTCCGCGGTCTGAGCGTGGCTGTGTTTCACTCCAGCGCTGTCCTCGAGACAGCCTGATCCCTTCACCTGATGAAGGCCGCTTGTGTTGTGGCCGAAACGTCGTGATTTTTGTTTTATTTTTTACCTACGTGACTTTACCGAATAGAACCAAAGAGTATAAACAAGCCACTTCGTTGAGCAATCATGTGGCCAGGTCGCTTCTGAAAAAGCTAATTGCTCAGTGGCCTTTACCTGGTCAAAAGACGAATTTTTTTTCGTGCGATTTGCCTACCTTTCCTAAGACTTTGCACTCCCATCGTGTTTTCGTATCATTCGTCGTAACCCTCTGCGGCAGGTTCTGCCACCAGCTGGACTACGCCACGAGTGGCGCGCTGTGCGTGGCCCTGAGCCGCCAGGCGGCTGGTGGGGCCTTCCGAGCCTTTAGCCAGCGGCGAGTCGTCAAGGCGTACCTCGCTCTGGTGAGCCGGCAGTGGGCTTGCATGTGGCAGTGCCCTACCTTATTACAGACCGATTCAAACCTTATTGGTCACCCCCCCCCCCGTGCCCTTATACATATCAATGTTCATCCTACAAAGCCCGTATTGAAGCGGCTGTACCGTAGTTAGCCAACCGTGCTAATCGGTGGGGGGGACGGACAATTAGATAAAAAAAACAGATTTAAAAGTGCGTAACTCCCAGTGGCTTTTTAATATCGTAAGAGCGTTCCAGTCGGTCGCAGAAACGCATCTGAAAGCACGCGATGCGGTGACCGTCTTTGTTTGATGGCCAGCCAAAAAGCCGTGGCTCGGACCCCTCAACCCCCACCCCCTTTCCCCACTTGAAATTCTTAGTCAAATGTTGGAGTGGAAAAGGAGTTGAATTAAGCGTTGGGTATCGCAGCCTTTCCTCATATGCAGTACATCGTATACATAGGGCAGCAATTCTCAACCTGTGAATGGCCACCCCAACCCTTCACGGCATTAACTCACAGAGATCTAAATTGGTATAAAGACCCACCAGACTTGCATAGAAATCCATGGACATACGGACCCATGAACACGCATGATTTAATTATTAAAAAAACGGGTTTCTCAAGCATGAGTCTGTATGATCACCATTGACGGTCATGTTAAATGGTCTGCACTTAATCTGGCTTTATTTCAGCTGTTGAGAATTATCGTGTAAAAATAATTGCCATGTAATGTACGTAAACTGAGGTGCGAACTCCCGTTTCTCACGTGTGCAGGTGAGGGGACACGTAAAAGAGGAGCACATGACCATTGACTATGCAATTGGGAAGGACACCAGGGAGGGACAGACACACATGATGTGCGTGGAGGCCACCCCAGGTGAGAAGTGGGGCATGGTGCCAGAAATGATCCGGTTTCATAGGACTGGAGTTCTTTGCCAGGTTTTACAAATAACCCTAAACAGCTCTGTCAGGCGATTCACAGGCGTGTGATCCAGTCCTTTGAAGTTAAGGGTTGGTGGATCATATAGATTTTGGAAATACCCAAATCTCTGGTGAGCTGGAAGGTGAAAAGCGTTTCAGTTCAACAAATGGGTTTAACCTTCCTCAGGTACTTTAATTTCATTCCCACAAGCCCAAACATTTGTATCGCACTATTTTAGTGTATCAGCCTAACGGGTTTTCGGGCCCAATTAAACAAAGCATTTCTTGACCTGTTTTCACCACCTCGGTCAGACTGATTATTCAAACATTACTGGGCAAGAGCACTCCAGCTAAGCCATGTGGTCGCGTTGACCGCAAATAGCCACATTTGTGGAAACGTGTAGGAGGGGCCTTTGTGCCACGACCTTTCTGCTGCATGCTCCCACAGGCTGCGACAACCCCAAGCCATGTCTCACGGAGCTCACGGTGCTCCAGACCGGTCGCTACGGCGACGACCCCGCCACCAAGGTGCTGCTGCAGCCCGTAACAGGTGTGCGACTGCATGGTGCCAACAGAGACGCCACCACCGCTCGCTCGCTCGTGTGATTTCTCTCTCGCACACGATGGGCAAGGTTGGCAAGTCGGTCACTCGCCAGGGGATGTGCCAAATATTCCGGATCGACGCACTTCCCCTGCTGTATTTTAAAGCAAAAGTTGGGGCAGTGTTTTATTCTCGCAGTTGTGCATGACCAGATTTGTATAACTTTAATTACACCGGGTACACGTTTTGGGGGTGTGTCTTAATTTCCAAGAGTGTCTTATAATCTAGAGAATATAGTAATCTGAGAACGGGTCCTTGTCATGTCGACTGAGACAATAAAAAACAATGCAGAATACAGAGCACACAGTTCAGATGAGACAATTGTACACGGTACAGACGAGATAGACAAATCACTGTTTAGACGAGACGTAGTACGGATGAGACGGACAATACCAAGGAGATAGATCATACAGAACAAGTAAGACAATAAGCACCGATTGTTTGAATAAAATCAAGACCCCAAATATTGACAATTCCTAGATTTGACTCATTACACGCCAGTGAGATTCTGCACACTACAGGCTATAGGTGGTGATAGGCTTGCGTTGGTGGGTGTACGCACGTGTTTGGCCATGTGTATTTATACTCGCATCAATCCCCGCGTGTGTCCGCGTTCCTGTTCTGGCTGGGCGTGGTGCTCTGCCACCCACTCCCTCGTGAGCCATAGGTGCTCGCGAACAGCACTTGTCCACAAGCAGTCAGTTAAGGCTATACTGGGGATCTTTCTTTGTTGCGTCCTTGTGCATGGCCGCCGCGCGCAGGCCGCACGCACCAGCTGCGCGTGCACTGCGACGCCGTGGGCCACGCGATCGTCGGGGACTACACGTACAGCCTGCGCGCCGACACGGCGCCGTACCGCACCATGCTGCACGCCGCGCTGCTCCGCATGCCGCTCGGAGAACGCACGGTGCAGGCGCGTCGACGACTTGACGACCGCACACTCACCGCGCACCACAGCACACGGCCGACTGCGACGGGACGAGTGATTCTGTACACAGACTAAGATAATAAAAAAATATTAAGAGACTGCTGTACACCGAGGAAGAACAAAAATTGGAATTGGCTGTGTAGTATGTAAAAAAGATTGACCGATGTCACCGATTGGATGACGAGATATTCAAATTATTTTGCTGCGTTGCCAATGCTATTAAGGGCCATTCCCCAAAACGTCATATATTTTAAGGTAGTGTTATCAACTAATGTGTTGAGTTTTTTATAAAAGGGGGGGGGGTGGATAAATTGCAGACCCCCTCACACCAAGTGTTTCACCGCTTTAGTCGACTAGACTGAGAGCGACTACATTTAATTCGCAGGCCGAGACCGAAATAAAAACAAATGCTGACTCGAACTGTGCCGCTGCTCCCGGTACCGGCAGGCGGAGGCGCCCGACCCATTCGTGCCAGACGTTGACCCGAGCTGGTGCCCCGAGCAGACGCTGCGGAGCGTCGACGAGGCGCTTGCCGAGGTGGTGAGGAAGGCCGTCGCCACGGAGGCGAGGCTAGCCGCGGAGGAGGCGGAGGTGGAGTTGTCACGGCGACGCACGGCAAGTACGAGGAGCGCCGGGCCGGTCAGCGAGGCGGCGACGGAGGAACTGCGGCGCTGGCTGCAGGAGTGGCCAGCCGACCTCTAGCCCCAGGCGTGCGACCTCTAATTCGAGTCAGGTCAAGTTGGCGCCAGCACCACCATCGTGCTGGGGGGTGGTTTGGAAGCACGTTCTCAAGAGAATGCTGCCATGCACGCCTTGTTTTGCGAGTGTACACGTGCTCGAGACTTCACTGTAAACTATAGTCTTCGTTAGCCATTCTCAATCCACTGCGGGGTGACCTCTCCCAAGTGACTCCATTAACCTTTTGCCACTCCTGACCGCTCCAGTCCTGCCGATGTTCTCTGGATCTCCTGCCTCCCAATGTATCGTTGGTTTCCTTCAACAAAACTAGAAACTGGAAAGCATCCGACCGTTTCCTGCATATAAACAATCCCCATCGTCCTTTAAAAATACAAGCACCTCCCCTCTAGATCCCGGGGTGCTTGTCATGCTCTCTGTGCAGTGCCTTTAGATGCTAAACAAATCAAACTGCATTGCAATATACCATCCTTTATTCATCAGGGCCTGTATAACTCATCTGTGAGCCTATATTCACCCACGTTTTGTGCTACTTTATAACAGTCATGAATAGCCTTGAGTTCCTTTGACTGCCAGAACGAGGTCTCTCTCCTCCCCTATACTTCGCCACGCTTGTCAGTGCGGGTCGGTGAAGTGAGGGGAGCGCAGCCAGGACCGGGTTTAGATATCGCTCGCCACCGATGCTGTCCGTCCTACGCGAGAGTCAAACCTCGGGTTGCCTGGTTCGTTGAGTGGGGCGCGCTGACCATTGCGCCGCCAACTCACCGTTAATAAAGCGTTGAACAAGTTAAGAAGCTTTTTAAATTATTATTTTAAATATATTTTTCATGTTGCAATCCAGTGGTGATAACAATGTGTGGCGAGGGTATTGTTTGAAATAGAGAAAGCTGTATGGATGACTAATTCACAATGAACTTGCACACAAGCTGCAGTCTACCGACTTCACGATTGGAAACCATGATGGGACAAACCGGATTTTATTTTGCAGGTTTGCAGGAAAAAAAACAATTTTAACTCAGAACCAATATTTTGTCATGTCTTTTATTTATTGAAGAATAAATTTTTTGGGGGGTTTTAGTCAATGGCCTTATTTTTTATGCTGTTCTTAAATAGTAAGCCATTAATTTAAACACCCTGTGTTTACGTACTCCTGACATCACCTCTTAATCATTGAACCCTGACCCTTGCCTCTCGTCCCAGCAGGATGTAAATTCTCACCTGGCAGAGGATGTGGCATCTCAAAAGAAATAAACGTAAAATAAAGAATTCCATTCTTTTCTCACCAAATAACATGGGTGAGTCGGGTAATGACTTTGGGAGAAATTCACGACAAAGGCATGAGCGGGGCAGCAGTAAGGCGAGTCTGACTGTCCGACTCTTGTTCAGACGAGCCAGCCACCCCACCCCTCCCCCCAAAGCCTGTTCAAGTAAGCAACTACACTGCCGGTGGTAACATCTACGTCTTGAGGGTGTATCCCTCACGGAGATGCCTCATCGCTGCGAGGCACCATGGGGAGCAGGGAAGTGCTGCTTGATAAAGGCGTCCTTGCACTGCTACTTGAAGCTCTGTTGAAGTGCAGGAGTGCCTGTAACACCACCACGTTGCACCCTCTTGTCGGGCACAATAAATAACAGAAATTGAATCTGCCGTTTTTGTTTTAACGTACGTTTCCGTGGCAATTCTCAGCAAGCTAAACTCTGAGCTTTGTACTTCTGTCGCATTGTGTCGCTGGCTTATTGGCTTGTAACGAGGCATCTTAATTGGCAACATTCGTGGAAACATGCGACCGCCCCTCCAACTCGGCCCCCTCTGCAGTCGCCACCTCGTGCCTCTACCTGACGTTATCGCTCGGCCTTCCTCGCTCTCCCAATATATTTATTTACCTTGAGCGCATAAATAAGAGCACTGCTGCCTTCGCAACAAATTACCGTTTCAGCATTATAATTTTTTCCTGTCCCTTTCTCCAATTAATATAATGGAACTGCACACTGTGGGGGTGGAGACGTGGGGTTACCGTGACAGCACCTCCACCAGCAACTCCAGTACAGTTCGCGATTGTAGGGCTGTCCCCGCAGCAACGTTGGCACGGGCAGCCACATGGGATGGCCGGTGGGGCTGGAGGGGCCCGGGTTAAGTGACAAACAGTTAGAGGGTTGAGCGAGCAGCCGATGGCAGTGCTGGGAACTCGTCCTCCCCTCCGTGCCTTGCCGTGTGCCAAGACCAGTCCGCAGGGCCGACGATCTGACGACGATGAAAATGACAATCGCACACGGAGCCCATCAGCCGGCTTGGATACACAGCGAGTGTCTTTGAAGGCTGATGTGGCCTCAACACAGTGCTTGTGCCACGCTAGGTGCACTCTAAGGCCATGTGAATTGCCCAAGGTTTGCTGGCAAACCCAGATGCCATGGGTTGAATGACTGAAGATGCACCACCTGTGCTCCCCACTGTCCCATCTTGCTGCGTTTTAGGCACCCGGAGCTCTGCTCGTTGTGAGCGTCGCTCCTCTGCCCTCCACAATGTTGAATGGTGACTGCCTCGAACTCTCCAATATAGAGTTTTACGAGCTTCCTCCACAGAGGCCGATTTTGACACCACTAGTCGAAGTTATTGGCGAGTCCAAAACAGGAAGATTTGTTACCCTGGACAAACTGTTGGGGCAAGTGCTGTTAGCAACCACCTATGAAGGCCTGCACAGTACACGAAGGGGTGGGTGGCCAACACCACGCCCGAGCGCCTTTGTATCCCTAGTGGCGATGTTTAGTCCTCGCGTCAGGTACTCATTTGAGGCTGAGTCGACTTAGGGGAGGCCCAGGACCGGTTCAGATAATTGTCACTGGTGTTGGCCATGAGCGGGAATCGAACTCGGGTCGCCGGGTTCATAACGCAGCGTGCTAACCGCTATACTACCGCTACCCATGTACAGACACGTGCGCACACGTACACACACGTTCACAGGACCGCGTTCATAACGAGCGTGGCGGAGCGTGGACGTCGCTCACCTGTTGGCAGGACGGGCAGCAGCGGCAGTCAAGCTCACTCCCGGAGTCCGCGACTTTTGCCCCCTGCCCCTTCTTCTTCCGCGTCGCCCCTACTGCACCTGGCGGTGGCAGCGAAGCGTTAACGACTGCGGCAGGCACCGAGCGCTCTGCACGCCGTTGTTGACGCGGCTGCGCCACGTCTCGCGAGGCTTTCACGAGACGTTCACGGATACTCTATGCCACAGGAATAAGCACTGCATCGTCAGCCGTGCCTTGTGTCACCTGATTAGCGATGCTGGGGGCTGAATAACATTACTGCAATGGTTCCCTTTCTTTAGCCAGGATCTCCACTTTGTTCAATCATGATCCTTTCTCTGCCTGTTTCTTTAATAGTTAGTTTGGGATACTGTCCGAGCTTGTTATCGTAACGTGTTCCGAACCATTGTGGGGTCTTCTTGCCTTGACTTTGTGTACAGAGGGGGGTGGGGGAGCGGTAAACTTCCAGGCCAGGAGAGTGACGATACATCGATTCATCGATCGCTTCGCACGTCAAACGGTGTGCGATTTTTACGATTTTGACACAGGACGATTGCTTATGGCAACATGTTGGCTTATCAATGTAAATGCGAGTGTAAAAACCGAGGCAAAAATAATGAAATTATCGAATGAAAATCATGACCCAGGGAGGAGGGACGAGCGGCGTGAATCTTTACAAGCCGGACTACGATGATGATGGAGAGCAGTTTGCTGCTCTCTCTCGCTAAAAATAAATTACCCACATAATTACTTTATTGGGTAAAAGCGCATGGCAAACAATAACTTTGCCGTACGTGCAAGTTATCGTTGTTACCTGTGCCTGGTTGCTGCTGTCGCCGCCGCCTCTGCCCATGGGCGTCCAAGAGCTGCCGCTGCCTCTCCGTGTCGGGCAGCAGCACCAGCAGCTCCGGCAGCACGATGCCGAGGCCTACGGGGCCCAGCAGGGCCTCACAGCGCGCGTGGTAGTCTATCGCTGACAGCGAGCCCTGAACGGCGCCACGGAGGAGGGGGGGGGGCGGGGGGCCGGCGGGGAAGGGGGTGGCAGGTAAGTTCATGGGCGAGTTCACAGGGACGTCTGGGACGTTCAAAGATATTCGTGAAGCCACAGATAATCTATTTGATTTGTCCAGACCCGCGATCAATGAATATTACAACGCACCAGCACCATTAGCTGCAATTACATTTACACTACGATTACAGTTCATTGTGAATGACAGTCGTAGCAAACTGCGCTGCGTATACCTTATGCTGCACAGTGATAGCTGCCATTGGGGAGGGGAGATTCCCCTTTGGCTGCAGCGGGGCATTGTATTGGTTGAGATATGAGATTACGATTGTGATTGACCCCAGGTCTGTCTGGTTTTGTGGCCCGCTGGTTTGTGCCCCCACCTGGCGGAACTGGCCCGAGAGCTTCTTGAAGTCGGTGAACTTGGCTTCGTCCTCTCCCAGGATCCCGCGCACGCGATCGATCAGGGAGCGGTTTCGCTGCACAAAGTTTTCCGGGGCTATGTAGCCAGTGCCGGCGCCGTCACCTCCCGCTACCTCCCCCTCTCTTCAAGCACACACACACACACAAAAGGCACATGATACATTAACGTACAAAGACAAAAATCCGTTGTGTCGCCTTAACAGATTGTTGGGGACAGCGAGCACCTATGAAGGCCGGCACAGCAGAAGAGGGGGTGGATATCCATAGTTACACATCGCACCAGGTACTTGTTTGAGACTGAGTCGATCTAGGGGAGGCCCAGGACAGATAATTACCACTGGTGTTGGCCAAGAGTGGGAATCCAACTCGGGCCGCTGGGTTCGTAGCACCGTGCGCTAGCAGCTAGACGGCTTCTCCCCATAAGCATGCGGACACACAGACATACACATATCAACATACTGCGTTGGGGTTAGATCGTGGCTGACGATTGCCTGGAGTGCCGGCATCACCTGCAGTCGCCGAGTGCGGCCGGCACGGCCACCAGCCCGGGAGGGGCCCCTTTCGGCACGGCCACGGCCACCACTGCGGCCAGGCCCGGGGGGGCGATGCTCGTTGGGGACCCCCCAAAGCCTGGGGGAGCCGTGGTTGGTCCCCCCAGGCCGGGCGGGGGCTGCTTCACCACAGCGGCAGCGGTGGCGACAGGGCCAGACTTAACGAAACCTGGCACGGAGGGAGAAATAAGCGATAGATGGTTAAAATCCAAAAACACGGAATTAGACTTCGCACAGCTCTATTCTGGTTGAATATCACCGAATATCCGTACAATAATCAGTGCAATTTTAGAATAAAGCTGTATTCCTAGGAGGGATTTTACCCAAAAGAAACCTGGCTAAATTGACGCACGGGGAAAAGGGAGGGTGTGTGGAGGTGGCTCACCGGGCGGTGGCTTGCGGGGCACAGCAGGCGCAGTCAGCGCCGGAAAGTCATCTTCAAGGCTCAGGAAACCACTGACTGCTTGCACCGGCAGCAGCAGGGACGGCGGGCCAGGAGGGGCGGCCAGGCCCGGGGGTGGTCGAGGGACGCCGTTAGCCAGGGTTTGCCGCTCGGTGCCGTTCGTCTGGTTAGCGCTGGAGGCTGGAGCCGGGGGAAAGAGATGACGGTGGCGAGAGAGGAGGAAGTGGAGGAGGACAATCGTCAGAGAGCAGTATCGATGGAGACAAACGCCTCGTGGTGGCCGCTGCCAGCCACATCATGCCTCCCGAAGGCGGGAAACCCCCTACGAACCGCTCTCCCCGTGGGGCGCGAGTCGACGCATCGAGTCGCTAATCAACGTCGTCCGCGATACACGTGTCCATCTGCGTGTTTACCAATCAATTCACGTCCATGCAAATTTACATGCTCATGTTCTATAGGGCAATCGAGCGGGCGAACCTACAAACCAGAAACAATACAAAGGGGACTGCACAAACAAGACTATGGAAAATCAACACCGAAGCAAATTGCGACCGAACGACATCAATTTATTGAAGCGCTTCTCACCTGCCTCTTCCCACTCCTTGTCCCACCAGCATTCGCTCTCCGAGCCACTGCTCCTGCCCGCCTCCTCCGCGGCCCCCCCGCTGGCGCCCTTCGGATCGTCCGCTCCCACCTTCCGCCTCTCGCTTCCAGCCGCCCCTTCCTCGTCCGCCGCCGTACTCGCCCCGGCCTTCCCCTTGCCCTTCTTCCGCTTGGCCTTTGCTCGCGACGCCTCGTCCGCGGCGGACTGGGCCTCGGGCGCGACCGCTTTAGCTTCGCCGACGGTGGCTGCTCTCACCGGAGCCGCCGCGGTCGTGGTCGCGGCCCTCTTCTCATCCGCCCGCTCCCCGCCCAGTTGCTTTTTCCCGCCGCCCTTGCCCGAAACCTTGGGTGCGGCGAGTAGCGACGAGAGGTCGAAAAGCGTGGGCGCCGATCGGAACTCCAGCGAGGTCACAGCGGGGCTGGCGTCCTCCTCGTCGTCGTCATCGCGGTCCAGGCCCTTCATCACCGCGATTGCCGCGCTCCGGTTCTTGCGAGCGGCTACTTTGCTGCTCTTCTCCCCTTTTGCGCTTGCGGCCACGTTTGCCGCGGCGGCGGCGGCGCCGGAAGAAGAAGTGGGAAAGCTCGGCGGCTCCAACTTTAACGTTTGGTCCGATGGTGCCGGAGGAACCGGGGCGGCCGCGGTAACACCAGAGCTGCCCCACGCGGAGGCGCCGCCTGTGCCGCGCTGCTGCTGGCGCCCCCCCACCAGACCTGGCCGCGTCGGGCCCTTCCCAATGAGCACTGGGAAATCGTCCTCCTTGAACGCCCGTGCGGCCACCGTGGACTGCCGGGCTGCGCCGCCACCGCCGCCGCTCCCGCCGCCGGGCAAGCCCCCGCCGGTGCGATGCTCTGTCCGGATCAGCGTCGGCAGGCTCGGAAAGTCCTCGTCCAGCGGCGCTTGTGGACGGGACCCAATCTGGACCCCTGAGAGATAGGGACGCTCCTCATGGGAAGAACTGGGCTGGGGGGTCTTGCGAGCCTCCTGCTGTTGCTGCGCTTGCGTTGGTGCCAGCGCCCTGGAGACCAGCGCCTTCCCAAGCGATGCCAGGGTGCTGGGCTCGTCTTCTCGGCTCAAGGTCACCGGCTTCAGCTGTGGTTTCTGTGGCTCCGCTTGCGTCTGTGACCTGGCCGTCTCCCGCACCGGCGCCGAGCCGATCGGGCCAGTCCTGACCGCCTTGGCGCTCGCGCGGTCCTCGGCGATGCCGGCCGTCCTCTCCTCCAGCTTGGGTGGCCGTTTCTGTGGGTCCGGGGTCGGCAGCAATCCCTTGCGGAGCGACTGCAGGCTCGGGAACGCCTCCTCTTCATCCTCTCTCTCCTCCACCCTCGTGTTCCCCCGAGCCTTGGCCTGCAGCTTCATGCGCTGTGGTGGCACGCGTCCCGAGCCCAACTTAGTCAGGCTCGGGAAGTCTTCCAGTTCCAGCTTGGGCTGCGGCCTCGGCTGCTGGGCCTGTGGCGGCGGGCCTTGTGGCGGCGGGCCCTGTGGCGGCGGGCCCTGTGTTCTCACCGGCGGGCCCTGAGGCGGCGGGCCCTGTGTTCTCACCGGCGGGCCCTTCTGCCGTTTCGTAAGGCTAGGGAACTCTTCCTCCCTGGATTTAGGCTGGGGCTTCGACTGTGGCTGAGACTGCGTTGGGGCGAAGGTTCGGCAGGGTGGCCCGGCGAAGCCCGGCACGAAGGCCGGCGTGGAGCCCGTCAGGCTCGGGAACTCCTCATCAAACACCCGGATTTGAGACTTGTGCATTTTGGCCGCCATGTTGGAACGCGCGTGCGCGCTCTCCGACGCCAAGCTGAAATTCAAACAAACCCCCCAATGATCAGAAATGCGGAACAAAAAAGGATTGAGCACCCATCACCGGGAAGGAGATAGTGTCCCGTTAAGTGGCTGTGGCAGCAGCGTGCGGGGCCTACCTGGTGGAGGTGGCGACAGCGCCCAGGGCTGGGAACTCGTCGTGGGCGAGCGGCCCGTTGGACACCGTCTGACCGGCCGCCAGCGCCACCCTCTTGGCTGCCGTGTCTCCCGTCACTGCCACCCTCGTGCCCACTGGTGGCGAGACAGGGTGTGGGGGGGATGGTTCGTTAGAGCGGATGACGGCTCGTGATAAAGAGGATGTTGGGCTCATAAACAGTGAACAGCTCGGCGTTATGAGCAGGAAAATGCGGACAGCATCGGGGATGGCACGTTGGGCAGCGCGACACAGAGCATGACACTGACCAAGTGTCAGAGATGGACCTGGTATGAACACTTTCAACTGTGAAATGTCTGACCAAATACTTCGTTATCTCGGCCAAAGATGCTTCCTGCTGCCGTCAAGCATTATAATTGATCCCCAGATGGAGAGCGGTGCTGTTTGTTGCGCGATGCAGTGTGGTTACACTCCGGGACCTCACCCTCGGCCTCCGTTTGCGCCCGCTCCGGGCTGTCCCTGTCGCCTGAAGGAGAGTATCGTTTCGCGGTCTGCTCCGCTCCGCTTCCTGCAGCAGCTGCTGCCGCCGCCACGGCCGACTGCTGCTGCTGCTGTTGCAGCTGGGCACCCAGAGACTCCCGCAGCGCCATCACCAACTCCCGGCCCTCGTCCCTGGTCGCGAAAGGAAGTCACACCCGGCACGGTTAGTCGTAGTTTGCGTGCGTCACCTAGGGGCGCCGCGGTATGATGACACTACGGTACGTCGTACGGTACAAGACTCACGATAATTGCATCGTACGTTTTGAAAAACATAGGCACATCGTGATTGTCGTGTGCGCGTGTGTGAGCAGGTATGTGTGTCGGTGGGGAGCGGTAGTGTAGTGGTTAGCGCGCTGCGAACCCGGCGACCCGAGTTCGATTCCCACTCATGGCCAACAACAGTGACGATTATTTGAACCGGTCCTGGGCCTCTCCTAGGTCGACTCAGCGTCAAATGAGTACCTGGTGTGGTATGTAAACATCGCCACTAGGGAGAGAAAGGCGGTTGGGCGTGATGCTGGCCGCCCTCCCGTTTGTGTACCGTGCTGGCCTTCTTCGGTGCTTGAGTTGATGTGTGCGTGTGAGCAGGTGAGCATGTGAGCAGATCAGTCTGTGAGCAGTTGACTGTTAAGAGCCGGTGTTAGTGTGAGTAGGTGAGCATGTGAGCAGGTGAGCATGTGAGCAGGTGACTCTGAGCAGGTGAGTGCGAGAGCCGGTGTTAGTATAAGCAGGTGAGCGTGTGAGCAGGTGAGCGTGTGAGCAGGTGACTCTCTGAACAGGTGAGTGCGAGAGCCGGTGTTAGTGTAAGCAGGTGAGCATGTGAGCAGGTGAGCATGTGAGCAGGTGAGCGTGTGAGCAGGTCCAAGCAAGGATTATTCAACATCGCCTTGCCAGGCACGCTGAGGAGAGGCTTGCGGAGCCCCAATGCGGTTTCAGGAAAGGGCGGTCCTGCACAGATGCCATATTTTCTGTTCGTCTGCTACAGCAGAGGTGTAGTGAATTCCAACAAGACCTACATCTCTGCTTTATTGACCTGGTCAAGGCCTATGATACCATCAGTAGGCCTGGGCTCTGGGTTGTTCTTCGTGCTTTTGGAGTCCCTGACCCTCTGCTCACGATCATTAAGGACCTTCATGATGGTGAGCGGGCCCGGGTAAAACTACGTGGCTGGGAGTCAGAGCCATTCCCTTTAGATCTTGGGGTGCGACAGGGATGTCCTCTGGCTCCCACATTATTTAACATCTATTTTGACCACGTAGTTCATGAAGCCTTCAAAAGCTGTACCGGGGGAATCTCCATTTGGTACAGATATAATGGGAGGCTGAACGATGCCCGGGTGCGGTCAAGCGATGGCTCCCTATTGCTCAACCACGTTATGTATGCAGATGATTTGGTAATAGCTGCTCATTCAGAGGAGGAGTTGGAGACGCTGCTGCTGAGACTGGAGCGTGCCACTAAGAGATGGGGCCTTACCATGAGCCCCACCAAAACTAAGCACCTGCCTGGGTATTTTGTACCATTGGACACTCCACCCCCACAACTCCCAATCGGTGATGGGGCAGTTGTGGAGAGAGTTTCCCATACCTGGGCAGTGTGCTTATGACCGGCTCCAGTTTAACAGCAGAGGTCTCACTCCGAATCAGTCGAGCGGCAATATCTTTTCATCGGTTGCGTAATGCTGTGTGGAAGTTACCTGGTCTGTCACTCCGCACTAAGCTTCAGGTCTTCTCGGCCACGGTCATTTCCTCCCTTCTCTACGCTTGCGAAACGTGGACCCCCCTAATGGAACATCTTCGCCGGTTAGAAACATTTAGGCTAGCCTGCCTACGATCCATCCTGGGTTTAACCAGGCTGGATTGTGTGAGCTCACAAATCTTTGAAAGATCTGGGCAAGGTCCCATCGGTGAGCTCCTCCGGCAGGGCAAGGCTGCGTTGGCTGGGTCATGTAGCCCGCATGCCCAGCCACCGCATGCCGAAACAGCTTTTGTTCGGCCGGATCGAGGGGAATAAATGGGCGCGGCACGGGCTAGAGAAGAGATGGAGTGATGTGGTGCAGGAGGACGTGGAGCTGAGTGGACTTGCCGATGACTGGTACCAGTGGTGTCAAGATCGGCCTCTGTGGAGGAGGCTCGTGAAGGATGCTACTGGGCAGTTGGAGGCAATCGCCCTCCAACAACAACGGAGGGCGGAGGAGCGACGCTCACAACAACGAGCGGAGTGCCGGGTGGCTAAAGCACAGCAGGTTGGCACAGTAGGGGGCACAGGTGGTGCATCAGCCAGTCATCTTCGTCAGTCGACCCGTGGCACCTGGGTCTGCCCAGTGACCTCCTGTCAGCGGGCGTTCGACACTTCACGTGGCCTCAAGGTGCACATGGCCTGGCACAAGCGTCGTGGTGACGTCACCGCCACTTAGTGGCGAATGGCGGTTGTTGTTGTTGTGTGAGCAGGTGACTCTCCGAGTAGGTGAGTGCGAGAGCCGGTGTTAGTACAAGCAGGTGAGCGTGTGAGCAGGTGAGTGTGTACCGGTTTTCCCTGGGTCTCGGTCGTCGCGGTGGACCCCTGCTCCTCGTATCTCGCTCCACGTCTTCAAAGTCCGCATTTGTCACCACACCTGCTCACACCACACACCGCAAACCACACCAGCTCACCACACACTGCATCTGGCTACCACAGACCACACACTACCCCTGGCCACCACACACCAACACCTGTTCACTACACACCACGCACCAGACCTGGTTGCCACAAACCACACCTGCTCACCACACACCACAAACCACACCTGCTCACCACAAACTGGACACCACACCTGGTCACCACGTGACCGAAACACACCCCCCCCACATGTAACACCCCCGTTACTACCCCCCTCACCATCTGCCCCCCCACCGTCACCCCCCCCCCCCCACCCCGGCTTCTGGGCGTGCGGTGGCGCCCACCGTCGTTGCGGAGATGCCGGCGGAGCGGGCACGTAAACTGCAGCTCCAGCTGCCGTGTCTGCCGGGCCTCGGCGCGGTTGCGGCTGTGCACGCTGGCGCGGTGGGCGCGCAGGTCGATGTCGGTGCGGAAGGCATTGACGAACTCCTGGCCCTGGCAGGGGCCCTCCTCGCACAAGAAGTGTTCCGCCCGGAAGTGCTCCCGAAGGAAATTGTAGTCGCTGAAATTCGGGGGGGGGGGGGTCAGTGGGGACGACGACGAGGGTAGAGGGGTTAAAAGCAACGGCGCGGTCCGGGGTTATAGAGTGAAGAGAAGATGCGGGCCCAAAAACGATACACACACCGAGAGTGCTTATATTGTGAATGCAAGCAAATCAAAAACTAAACTTTTTTTATCTTACCAGGTAAGGCCCACTGAGTTATATTTCTGATTTTCAGAAGCGACCTGGCCACAAACGATTGCCCAACGAAGTGGCTTATTACGTGGATATTTTATCAGCCAAATACTCAAAAACGCATGTTGATTCCAAATGGAGGGAAACAATGGGTAGGGTTGGTAGGGGTACACAGTCGGGTTGGGCTGGTAGGAGGGTACAGGTGGTAGGTTTGGTAGGGTTACCCAGTCGGTAGGGCTGGAATGGGGTTTGTATGGGTACACAGTAGGGCTGGTAGGGGTACACAGTTTGTAGGGCTGGTAGGTGTTGATATGGATACACAGTAGGGCTGGTAGGGATACACAATTTGTAGGCCTGGTAGGAGTTGGCATGGGTAAACAGATGGTAGGGCAGATAGGAGCGTACAGGAGGTAGGGCTGGTAGGGGTTGGTATGGGTACACAGTATAGTTGGTAAGGGTACGCAGTTTGTAGGGCTGGTAGGGGTTGATATGGGTACACAGGCGGTAGGGCTGGTAGGGCGGGGGGATACAGGCAGTCGGGCTGGTAAGGTTACACAGTCGGTACGGCTGGTAGGTGGGTACAAGCGGGAGGGCTGGTAGGGTTACAGTTAGTAGGGCTGGTCGGGGTTGGTATGGGTACAGTCGGCAGGGCTGATGGGGACCGCTGGCCCAGAGGCCACTGGGCCTGCCCCCTTCACCTGTAGTACTCATTGGTGCCCTCGGCGTCGCAGAAGTGGCAGTAGAAGTGGTCGCGCCGCAGGTGCTTGAGCAGCTCGTCGTTGTCAAGGTAGCGCTGGTCGCAGAACTGGCAGAGTGGGTGGCCGCGGTGCGAGCGGTCGTCTGGGTCACCCGTGCGCCGGTGATGCGCCAACTCCTTCCGTGTGTACCAGCGTCGCTCCCTTGAGAAGATCTGAGCAGCACGCACGCACACACACGAGCGCACAAACGCATGAACATCTCCCGTTTGAAATGTAATCGTAATGTGTGACACACATGTACACACACAGACGGAAGATTCCTCCCCCTCCTCCTTGTAGCCTTGAACAGACTGTTGGGACGGATGTTGTAAGGTAACAACGATTAGCTCACAGCTGTATGGTAATTAGCACACACGCGCAATAAAGAGAAAGACATACATGCACAAGCAGATACGCATAGAATTTGAATCTTTATTTAGAGTGGAAGCATCCGATGAGCTACGGAGCTCTTTTTCACAGATGTCCAGTAGGGGCGAGTCAGAAAGTTGCGACAACAACACAAAAACTGATGTGAGTGAAGAGTTTCGGAAAGCTAAGCAAATCACAAAATAAAAAGAGAATCCCAAGAACAAATATAGGAGCGCATGTGTGAACTGACACATGAATCACCTGAAGTGAACACAAATCGTGAAGAGAGCGCCCTCCATCTCTCTCTCTCCCCGGAAGCAGTCCACGTCGCACCGCAACGTACGTCCCCACTCACCTTGAGGTGGCGCAGGCAGAGGTCGCACGGGAAGCACTCGTGCTGCTGCTTCATGTGCTTCTGCAGCTCCTGCAGTGTGGAGAACGGCGGCAGCGCGGGGCAGCGCGGGCACGCGTGCAGCAGCAGCTTCCTGCACGTGACGGAAGCCGGGCGGTGATGTGACGGGTCAGGACAAAATATCTGTTTGGTGTTTTTTACTCCCCCCCCCCAAATCTCCATTGGTACAGTCATGCTGCCAGTTGTACAACTGCGTTATCCGTGGTAACAGCCGAGCCCCGACAGTGATTTAAAATTGCCCAGTTACTGTTCCCATGAACTACACTCATTGACTCCTCCACCCATGTTGAATTGACCGTTTAGTCTCAACCATACTGTGTTCCACCAGCACCACACTTGCGGCAGGTCACAACGCTTCTCTTTTTCCGCTTCGTCTCTCGCGCTGCTCGGCAACTGCGACTTAAAAACACGACGAAACAAAACAACAACGAAAAGCCCACCAACGGCGTCACTCGTGGCAAGCATCAGCGAGGTCGGCGGTGCAAACGCCCCTGCGAGGCGCGGCGCTGATGAGTTCCAAGACGGACAAAGTCTGCGGGAGCCGAGTGGGGGGCTGGGGACCGGCTAGGGAGAGGTAAGAGGAGCAACCCGCCAACGATGTACGTTGAACTTCTTTCACACAGCATGTAGGCAACCGTGCGAATCGGAGGCGTGGGGGAAGAACAGCAAACTAAACACAAAAAGCAGTTCTAAATAAATGAATTATCAACCTAGTAATTAAAAGTGCATATCTGCAGTGGCTTCCTAATATCGGAAGAGCATTCCAGACGGCTGCAGAAGCACATCTGGAAATAGCGCGATGCGGCGATCGTCTTTGTTCGATGGCCAGCCCAAAAGCCGCTGCGAGGATGACCGGAGTTCGCGTGAGGGTTTATGCTCCTTGACGAAATCAGCGAGTTATTGTGGTTCATTTGTGTAAATAACTTTGTGTGTGTAATGAGTGCGACGTCATAATGTATTCGTTCGGTAACCGGAAGCCAATGCAGCTCGGCGAGCACCGGACGGACAAGGTCGGATCTTGCGGAACCCCCCCCGCCGCCATGCCTCCCCCGTCACGACACGTGCCGGAGAATATTGTACACAAGCTGCAGTTTGGCACTGACCGGTACTTGTCGCGCGTGCCCTCGCAGTCGAAGCAGATGCCGTGCTCCCGGTCGATAGTCATGCGGCTCGTGTCGAAGGACGCGAAGGGGGCGAGCGTGTGCGTGAACACCACCTGCCGGACGGCGCGCACGGCATTGGCAGGGCCCACGGGCAGGGCAGGAGGTGAGCTTAAGACACCCATTTGACCGATTGAGAATTGCCAACCGAGGCAATGGAAGACGCATGGACCACCGACTCTCAAGTACTGCCCCTCAACGCACTCTCCACTATAAATAATCTCCGCTCCTGGCCAACAACAAGCTGACGTTCGTAGTCCGTCTGCGTAAATCACAATTTCAACCCGCCCCCAACTATCCCCAACCGCACAGGATTGTGAAGAGTTAATGGCTTGGGGAAGCCCTTCTTCCAGCTGTGGAATAATCGTGGATGTTGATGTCCTTTTATGGAAATCCTGCAGTCCGCCGTGGGAATGTGGAACTTCCACCAATGGTTTCAAGGCATCTGGGCATTAGCATATGTTGCTTACAGTTTGTCTAAACGACATGTCGGTATACATTGTTTCATGCTGACTAAATGAATATTGACCACCACGGTGTTGACATTATACGTATCAGAAAAACTAACGTCGACGAAACAAAAACCTCATCTCTCAAGAGGTGCTCGTGATGAAACGGACAAGAGGAACAACGCGTTGGAAGCGAGGACATATTTAATCAAGGCAAATGTTAAGACACGTCGGTGGGTTGGCCGCGCCTTGGTTAGAATGTTTGATCGATGTGGGAGACAAACGATGGACTTGGCAGAGTGCGCGGGGAACGCATCACCACTTGAGATGTAGCAACGAAATGAGCCCGCGTGCAGTGCGGCAAGCTCGCTAAACTACCGTGCACATCACAGGTAACCGTGAGAGATTGGTGACCGCTTGGGGGGAGGGGCAAGCGTTATGGCCGATGGTTGAGTCAACTCATACCTTGTACAGTGTACACTAACTTTATGACGGGTGATGGTTCAAGGCCATGAACGGAATCATCACCACCGCCTTGGTGATACAATTGTGGCTCAATTATCCGCGTCTCATCCAAGTGAGGACCCCCGCCCCCCCACCACCACCTCCTTCAAATTAGGCCGCCTGTTATCGTTAAATGTCGCCACGCGGGGTTAAGCAATTATCCCGATTTACAGGCCAAGAGGCGCGAACTATCATCCGCGACCGCCTTCACCTGAATGATATGGCAATCGATGTGCCCTGTGGACCTGGGTTGGGTTCGAGGAGGGGTGGGGGGGGGCCCGCCTGGCTGAGCACAAGACTCTGGACCTGACTTTGAGTTGCTGCCCACCCAGACAGCCACCCGGCCTGGGCCAGGCGGGAGGACAACGGGGGAACCGGCAGCCTCTGTGCACAGAAGTGGCGGGGGCAGCCGAGATCGTCCAAGGCTGGCCGGCCTAGGGAAGGCATTCGGGGGTGCCTCAGTCGGGAGCGGGTGAAGGCCGTGGAGAGGGCCGTGGAGGTGTATGGGAGAGACAGGCGACAACAAACCGAGGCTGGGCCGGGCAAGGCCAGACAGGAACCAGCGCCTCTACACGAGAACGTGGTCGGGAGGGTGCGCGCGAGCTCCCAACGGGGGAGGGTTTTCGGTGGTCAAACGAAGGCTGGGGAAGATCGGGCAGTGGCCGTGTGTGTGTGTGGGGGAAGGCAGCAAATGGGGAGTGAACAAACGACCAAGGCAGCGGTTAAGCCGAATAGACAAGGCCAGACAGGAACCACGGCCTCCGCGAGAGAACGCGTATGGGGCCCAACTGTGGTGGGCGGGCGGGCTGGCGAAGGCCTGGGGATAAGGCGAGTGGAAAGGGTCGGCACCTCTGCGAGCTCCAGGCGGCACACGGCGCAGTAGGGCTGCTCGCTGAGCACCCGCATCTTGGTGGAGCACAGGAAGCACACGGGGTGGTCACACTTGCCCAACGCGAACACGTCCACCTCCTGGCAGCAGAGCACGCACGGACCGTGCGCCGCGGCGGGCTTGGTCGCGCTGGCCATGGCGACGATGGTGTTGTCGTTGGCGGTGATGGTGTAGCGTTAGCGATGAGGCGACGGCGGTGATGGGAGGGTGGTGGTGTTGGCGGTGTTGGGAGGGTGGGAGCCGGGGAGGGGGTGGGGGGCCTGGCTCGCTGGGCGGAGTGACCGCACGGCGAAGGCGATTGCACGCGCACGCGCCTGCGTGTCAACGACCGCGCCGCGCGACTCCACCGGCGGCCACGTTGCTCAGGGGCGGGCGCGGGTGGCAGGAGAACGACGCGCGCCGCCCTCCGTTGGGCGAGGCCGCGCGGGCCGTGACGTTTGTCGCGCGCGCGAAGTCATGAAGTCATGGCAGCGTGCGCGGCCAGTGACATCATGTCGCGCGCGAAGTCGTACGTCATGGCACAGCGCGCGCGCGAAGTCGTTACGTCGTGGCAGCGCGCGCGCGAAGTCGTTACGTCGTGACAGCGCGCGCGCGAAGTCATTACGGCCGCGCGCGCAATGACGTCACGTTCTTGCGCCATGACGTCACGGCGCACGGGGTGGGGGGGGGTGGGGCGCCTCTCTTCTCTCCTCACCCAAGATGGTGGTGGTGGGGGTGGAGCACTGTCGTATAACGCGACGGCTACGGCGAGCGGCGAGGAGAAATGCGATTTCGCATTGAGCAACAACAGCACGGTCGCAGCAGGCATCGGCTGTTTATGTTCGGCGCCGCCGCCGTCGCTTCCACGGCCGCTCGAATCACCGCCGCGGCCGTTCCCACTGCCGCCGTGAAGCGGGTCGGCAGGGCGTGGGAGCGAAGCGGCCGCGCAATGTTGGTGGCGCCGGCGGCGGAGCGCAACAAGGAGCCGATCCTCGAGGTGCTGCGGGAGTGGGTGCCGGCAGACCGGGCCGGGTTTGCGCTCGAGGTTGCGTCGGGCTCCGGGCAGCATGTGGTGCACCTCGCCCGGGCCTTCCCGCACCTCACGTGGCAGCCCAGCGAGCTGGAGGCGTCCTCCTTCCAAAGGTCTGAGGCGCGTGAGGAGAGTCTCACGCATCGATGGGCCGTGGGCCACAGCTCGTAGACACCGTGGGTGACCACGGTGGCTATGAGATGTTTACTACCTCGCTAGGTATACAGGAGGTCGTGGGTTCGAACCTGACCACCCCTGTTGCATGTCTCTCTCCTCTTGGTCGCGTGGATTTTTTCCCCCTCCGGGTTTTCCCCCTCCTTATTTAGAATCAACGTCACGCGTTTGGAGCCGTGTTTTACGATTAGGTCAACAGCAAAATAAAACCCCCGAAATATTTCAACAGCCGCAATGCACGGGAATACGGAGACGATCGCTTAATAAATGGACGTCACCAATCGGTCCTTAAAGAACCGCCGCAAGGTTGCGAACTCTTCCTGCTTTCGAGTAATCCGGCTGCTATATAAATGTCCACGCGATAGATATCAGAGCCACTTCGCTGAGCATTCATTTGTGGCTGGGGGTCGCTTCTGAAACAGGAGCCGCATAGCTCAGTGGGCCTTATACCTGGTACAAAAACAAATCTCGCGCATTCTGCATGTGTGTTTTTCATCAACAACTTGCACTTATCAGCGTGGTAAAGTATGGTCAAATAGCCCCCCCCCACCCATCTCTTTCCTTACCCCTATCTAACCATATCCATAACTCTCACATCAACAATAACCATGACCTTCGTAATTAATCTTGATTTGTGGCTTTCGTGGCTGCAGGAATCCATACTCTTTGGTTCTATCGGTAAAGTCGCATAGGTAGAAAAAATAATAGATCACGACGCTTCGATCGCCACACAAGCAATCGTCTTCAGGTGACCATAACCCCTAACCCGAGCGAAAATTCTGAAACCTTATCTCCCCTAACCATGGCCATGACCCACCATAACACAAACCTTGGTCAAGATCCTAACCCAGGGGTGGGGGAACGTCCGGCCCGCGAAATCATTTGGTCTCTGGCCCTGCCAAGGCAACCGCAGGCGGGACTCGAAATTAAATACATCTAGGAGCAAAACCTGGAAAAGCAGTTGCGAGTAGCAACATCATCGTCAATACCAGCTAACATCACACGCCTCATATTCTTGGTTCTTTCGGTAAAGTCACGTAGAAGGGAAACAATAAAATAATAAAAATACGTGACTTTACCGAAAGAACCAAGAATATGAATCCCTGCAGTCACGAAAGCTTTAAATCAAAATCACATGCCTCACCAAAGAGCGGCAGTTAAAGCCCATCACATTAGGGGTGAGTTCATAAAATGTTTGACCAAATATAACAGGCTAATTTTTAAGTTGATAATTTTGTATGGCCCGCGAATGATGTTATAAATATCCAATGGCCCTTGCCAAAAAAAAAGGTTCCCCAGCCCTGCCCTAACCCAAAGGCTACACATTGGACCCTCATTTAATGAGTTCCCATGTTGCTGCATGTGACCACCTCACCTGTGCCTCTACCCACCCCCACCACCCCGTCCCGGCGCAGCATCTCGGCGTACGCGAGGGCAACGCAGCTACAGAACGTACTGCCCCCTATACAGGTGGACGTGCGGGAGCCGTGCGAGACCTGGCCCGGCCGCTGGCCCTCGTCCTCCTGCGACCTTATCCTCAACATCAACATGATCCACATCAGCGAGATCCGCTGCACAGAGGCGAGGCCATGCCCCCCCCCCCATCCCCCAGGGAGTGGTTTTCTGGGGTTATTCTATGGGCGGGGTGGAATCGAGGGAGGCGGGGGAAGCAGTAGTCTTTAATCGGGTTGCTACAATATCGTTTTTTATTTGATACGATGGGTTGGGTGCGTCAGCCATGGGGGGGTGGGAAAGGGTATAATTATAACTATTTAACCTTATATTTTACAATGCCGGGCAGTGCTGTTTTGATAAAAGGGAAGGCACTTTCTCTCACCTCTCGCCTGAACGCCTGACCGGTGTAATGGGGTCACCTCTAACCAGTATGTGTGGGTGGTGGCGTGAAGGGAGTGGTGAAACACTTTGTGCCTCGCAACAAGAAGAGCTTGAGTTAGTTTCCCGGCTCGGGCTACCTCGCTGTGTTGGAGTTTGTATGTTCTCACCCTGTGTTGTTCTGCGTGGGTTTCCTCCGGGTATTTTGGTTTTCTCCCAAAGCTGACAACCCCCCCCCGCACTCCCATAATGTTGCTTTAATTGGCCAAACATTTGAACGCTTAAAAATACCTGCAAATTTTACATAATTACCAGATAATTTCTGAATTGGACATAATGATAGCATCGTCCTCTACTGTGCGAAACTTGGCAGGACCTTCCTGATAAAGTCTTCATACTCAAGTTATACGCTCATTGCGTGAAGTTCAAATAAATACATAGGTATTCAGATCTGTAAGACACTCAAGCTTCTTTGCGCCCGGCAAGGCAGTGTGCTCTTTTTACAATGAGTGCAGATACTGGGTGGCACATCGCAGGGAAGCCTTCATCCAACTGTGGATTGAACGTGGCAGACGGATGACAATACCACGTAACATTTTGCGATAACGATTTTCAGTTTTACGTAGCTTCGTGATTGTGTTTCACATTTATATTGCACCTTTTTAAATTTGTTTTAGTCTCGGTGCAAATAATTATTCCAGAATAGTTATTCAACTACAGTTCACTCAACTTAAGCCTGCCATAATGCTGAAAACACATGCTGCCAGTTACACGGAAAGTTATAAAATAAGTAAATTAACCACGGAATTTGATTACATAATGGCATCGCCACGTCATATACCCATGAAAACATTTTACACAGCATTAATTTAATGGATAATAGAATGTTTGTTTGATTCATTAATCATTGGGTTTGTTATTTCATAAACATTTTGTCAGGAAATGTGATGTTTTAGAACAAAATATATGTGCAAAGATAATCACCATATGACTACTGTCATTAAAACGGAGGATAGTATTATCATGGAACTTATTTTGTACGATACATCGCAACATTTACAGGTCACGGCGACTCTAGGTTTGACCAAAAGAGCAGCTGGTCGTTTGCGTTACTTGCATTTTAATAGCCCTGTGCCTGGAGGTCCAGTGTTAAGTTTGGAAATGTCCAGCCTGCTCGCTGCTCTGATTGCATGTGTATTGGTGAATGTGTTCATGCCTACGTATACATGGCTGTCGCTTATGGCCAACATCAGTGGGGAATACCTGAAGTGGTGCTAGGCCTCCCCTGGGTCTACTCGGCCTTGAGCGCAGTGCCTGGTCGTCCTTTGTGTCAGCATCGGCACTGGGGAGACAAAGGCGGCCGTGGTCTTGGCTGCACTCCTGCCTCGTGCGCCGTGCTGGTCTCCGTAGGTGCTAGCTAACAGCACTTGCCCCCAACAGTCTGTTAAAGACCTTATAAGGGGGGGGGGGTCTTTGTGCGTGATTCTACAGTGATCAGCCTGAAAATAATCTGCCCGAGCCAACTTATGTTACAACTTATTACTTAAGATTTATGTGCGTACAATATTTTACATTTATCATGTGAAAGTTATTTCTCTGATTTCTATTTGTTTCCAAGCTGTAGTTGATTTTATTTTAGCTTTTGTCATTTTTGCGACGCGGGTCACTTGCAAATGAGACTGTATCCTGGTCTCGCGAGTTCTCATTTTGGTTAAAGGAAGTCAACTTTGTGTGCATGCACGTGTATATGTGCACGCACGCACAAGCGTGTATGTGCGCATTGCGCGCGCCATGCATGCATGCGTGTGCATGTACGTGTGCGGTGCTGGCCACAACACCTCCCCTGTATGCCGTGCCCACCTTCATTGCTGTTCTCCAGCAGCACTTGGCTGAACACTCCGTGTAGAATACATGGGGAATATTTGCCTCTGTGTGTCCTCCAGGGTCTGTTCAGAAATGCTGGTGTTCTGCTCAAACCCAGTGGCCTCTTGGTTACGTATGGGGTAAGTTCACTACTGAGTGTGACCGAGTGCTACCACATTTGCTGTTTTTGTTGCAGAGGTTCATCGTTTAAACCCCCCCCCCCCACACAGCCACCCTGGTTAATACTGCGGGTGTATAAACCATAGATGTGCACCGTCTGCTTCACAGTGGAAGTCAAAGATCCCGTGACGTCATTCCAAAAAAAGTAGGGCCACGTGCTTGCTGCACGGTACAAATCAGATGACCGGCAAATTACTCAAATTGGGATTATACATAGTCATTGCTCTACTGGCAGACTAATGCCGCAGGTCACCCGTGCAGACGAAACTTATACTGATCCCTTGAGTTCTCATCAGGTTAAACAAAAATAAACTCGCTAACAGCCGTTTCACTCCTCACGCAGCCTTCGTGCTAACGGCTGTTTTAACTCCTCCTCACACAGCCTTACGCAGTGAACGGGATCATCTTCCCGCAGAGCAACGTGGATTTTGACGCCGTCTTGCGCGAGAGGTGAGCCCCGCATTTCCTCACCGAGTCCAGCTCCGTCGCACTTTATTTCTACCAATTCTGCTTCCGGTTCAGCAAAGCTTTCATTCACCCAGCAGAGTCCGCCGTCCGTTGTACCTAGCGGTGGTCAAATTCATGCGGCGTCGTGTTCGTACCCAGTGATTCCTAGTGCCCTCTGCTCCATCAACATCCTAACCAACGCCACGGCTGGTGGGTTCAGAGCTTCTGGGTACCAGGGGTTGTTGTTTGACCGTATGTCACCATGCTGGTCGGTGATTGATAAGGGAGCACATTGTCTTGCCTCTGGCCGAGTACGTGACCGGTATAGGTGCTGCTATCCAGCATATACCGTCTATGATCGTCAAGGCTCCTGGCCACGTCAAGGCTGTGCTACATTGAAGATTAAAAATATATTTTATTTATTTATGCAGAATGGACCTTTTTGAAAAAATAGGGTTAAAATTGTACTCCACTATTCAATTGATGGGTGGACTGATGGCACAGCGGTCGACCCGAGCTCCATTCCAGGCCATGGCTAGAATCGGTGGCAAGTGATATCAGAACTGGTCCTGTGCCTCCCTCAGCCAATCCCGCACCTGCCAGTAGTGTGGTGAAGATGGCCAAACAACCATAATATACCTATTGTGGCAATGGCTTCGTCTAGCAGTGGCTTTAAACGACTATAGATGTTGAATAAAATATCTGAACTATGTTAAACATTCCACTGCATCGTGATTAGCAGCCTCATTTGCTGAAGTTTATAGGCCTTTACCATAGTTAACCAATCTATGCGAGTGATGCTTTTGGAGGCGGTAGCAATGGGCTTGGTGGTTGCCCCATGGGGTCTTCTCGCTGGTCATGGCCCTTGTGTTCAGAGCTAGCTCCATGCTGGCCACGTTGCCGGCGGGGTGGGTATATGGGTGTTGACGGCAGGTGAGGAGTGCTAGCCCCTGTGGTTGTCATGCCAGGAACCCGGAGTGGGGACTGCGGGATGTCAGCATGCTCCAGCAGCTGGCGCTCACCAATGGTATGCGTCTTCAGAGGATGGTGAGTCTGGGTTCAGCTACTCACCCACCCCTTGCACCTTGGGCAGTTTGATCAATTGTTGCAATTCGTGGCTCCGATTCAATTTCAAAAGCATATTTTATATATTTTTTAATCTTTGTATTATTCTCTCTCCCCCCCGGGTTTGTACGTGTTCATTTGTTTGCTCCATCTGAAATGTAACATTAAAATGTGAATATAGGTTAAATACATCAGATATGGTGTGTGCACGGACCAGTATGAACGAGGTCCATTTAAAAAAAAATGTACTTTAACTTTTTCTTATCCCATTCCATTCAGGTGGAAATGCCAGCCAACAACAAGTGCCTGGTCTTCCAGAAGACAGGGTAGAGATGGCAGTTGGATGACAAGAAGCTAATTCAGGAGTCTCATTTGTGTTTTGCTAATTTTTTTTGCAAACTAGCACAGCTTTAGCTAAAATGTTATTTCATCTCATTTTCGATTGGTGTCAGAGACTTAAGTATTCCAATCTCTCGCAAAGCAGTGCAACCTTTCGTTTTCATGTTGAATGGCCCACGGAATTGGATACCACAGAGCTACTTCTGACATCCCTTGCAGTGACCTCTGGTCCAAAGAGGCAAGGGCAGCACTGTTCAACCCCGCTCTGCGGCCAGTATATTGTTTACATGACGGTGACACCGATAATTATTGTGGACCCACATGTGTTTTGTGTAGCCATTGGTGACCTGGGCAGTGTTTAAAATAAAAATGAAACGGACCAGCAAGTGTTTATAGTTTACTTTATTGCAGGACAGGCTCTTACACGCAGCCACACAGATTGACGGTCAGCGGCATTGTGCACTGGTTATTCTAAATTCACCACCCCTCCGCCACGATGTTGCTAGGTCAGAGGTTTTCCCCTTCTATATCTATAAGCTTCTGTATCACATTCGGAGAAACCTTCAGAATGGGTGCAGCATCGGTGTTATTCAACCCTCGTATATCAACCTCCAATGTGGACTGCCGTGATGTTGGAATTTCAGCCACGGTCCACACAACTCAAAAGCTTTGCGTGTGCAGTCACCGCCACAGGACGTCACCTATTCGGCGTGGTGACCTCATGGTGCACAACGCGACAGCAGAAACATTGGGGGAAATCAAGAGCTTGGCGTTCAAGATGGTGCCATTGTCATGGGCTTTGTCAGAATGCTGGGAATAAATTAAAAGAAGCATTTTCAACAAATTGTGCGGTTCTTTTAACCAAATTCACATTGAACCAATAAAAAAAACATCTTTCAGTGTGGGTACATACCCACCAAATCCCAAGACACCCTCTAGAAAGGGCTCTCATGGAAGCTCTTCTGCCAGCAGTGACATGAGCAAGTAATTGCAGGACTGCGCCTTTGTTTTGAATAACTGAAGCACGGAGAGGGGAACAGGCTGAATATAGGAGCAGTCCCGAGGCCCCATCGATGGGTTCCAGACTTCACCTGACCAGGCTGCAGCTGAGGCCCTGGACTGCGAGGCTTGAGAGTCCGCTTCATATTTACAGGCAGCGTTACCAATGACAAGGATGCACACGCACGACTAGGCCACGCCAGAAATCACGGTAAGTCATTTCAGTTCAAAAACCTCATTTGTTTCATATTTATTCGTTAAAAGGAAAGGTTAATGGAGGAATGAGCCTCAATGGCTTGACACAACCGTGTCCCTCTGCGACGAACACACGCTTACAACCTTAAGTTTATTTCCTTTATACGTTTCTTAAGTTTACCAACACCGTTCATGATCGTGCACGGCAAATTACGAATGGCAACACCGTCGGGGGGGGGGGGGGGCGCCCTGTGGCCGATGCTGGACATGGTGCACGTTGGCAGACGGCCGTGTCGTGCGGCCATAGCGGCAACTTCGAGCGATTACTTAGACAAAAATATTAAGAGATTCAACCGCAGCGTGGCACCCACCCGAACGACAGCTGTGGGGACACCGCTGGTGCAGCAGGGGGTCACGATCCGTTACCAACTTAGCGAGCAATGGACAGGAAGAGATAAAAGGATGCAGGGGTTGAAAATGAAGATGACAGCCCCGCGGATTGGTGCCTGCCCAGCGGCAAGCACGGCGCTGCATACATCGGTCGCCAATCAGCAGGAGTGTAGGAGAAACCTCGCTGCTCTGTGTGCGAGACTCCTAGCCTCACAAACCTCGTGCCCGCACCTCTGCCATTGGCGCATTGACAACTCATTTCGCAGGTGAACCACACTGCTGTCTCAGGCAAAACTAGTTAAAATGCGATACTGGCAGCGGTTACACGCAAAACTTTACTCTAAACCAGCACAGTGCACAGGGACACCATTTAAACCAGACCCAGAAGATTACACGTTCCTGGAAGCAGACTTAAGAAGTTTAAGCAACACGACAAACTGGCCGAACGCCGCTCGCCGACAGCACAAGGCCATCAATCGTCAGCAAATCAACGACCACCCCCAGGCAATGACGTGCCAGCTCGACGCTCGTGCAATTTAAAAGTGACTCTCCCTACAATTGTTTCTCACCGCCTCTCCCCGGCCCACTTCAGAAACGCGCGGGGTGGCGTCTCTAGCTGAAGAATTCCTCCAGGTGTCATTACCGTGGAGCCGGACGCTACTGATCCGGCCTGCAACTGTCGAGGGGCGCTGGCGGTGGGCATTGCTGCCGAGCGAGCCCTTGACAGGCGAAGTCCGTGAAGGGTGAGCAGCAAGGGACGAGCAGGGGTTGAGGATGAAGAGGAGCAGATCGAGCTACATGAGAAGCTCAGATAGGAACAGGACAAGCAGCAGCAGAGAAAGGTGATGGGATAAGCGTGGTGCGGGAACATGTGGAGGGCCAGAGATGGGGGTGTGTAAGGTGGGAGAGAGAGGAGTAGGGTGGGAGAAAGCGGTCCACAGCAGGAGAAGAGGGATGTAGTGTGAAAGGGAAAGAGTGGGTGGGAGAGGAGGGTGTAGTCTCAGTCAAAGGAGATAAGCTGAGCGACGGACGCAGGGCCTGGTGCTGCCAGTGGTTGCTGGGGTGCCTGCATGACACACGCATAAACGATAAAACCCACTGTCGTTCACCGCAACGAGAAGGTGGCGATGGTTGTAACGATGCCTCGACCCGTCTCAATGCTTAAATGGGACTATTCTTGTTCATTTTGGATATTTAGCACCGATAACCGCATGTTAACTTTGACCAACCCGCACTGACTAGTGTGAAAAATGGCCCAATGACCAACCTGGCGTGACGAAGCTGTCATCCAGTAGTGGCCTGAACTGAATGCGAGCATTGATTCCACGACTTGGAATAGATAGCTGATTATTTCTTGAGAACGGATTTTTGCGTTTCGTTTGTTGTACTTCCCCCACACCTCCGATTAGCACGGTTGGCTATGTACGGTGTGAAAGAAGTTCAACATACGTACATTTACAACCTCAGTTGGGACCTAGGTACATTGTTGTGCAGTTGTGTACAGGCACATGACCGCAGACGTATCTGTATGATGCTCGAGCTCAATTCAATTCCTGAGGAAGCGCCCAACATGTGGAACAAAACGTCGGCGGACATCGTGCCGAACAAAACGCGGCACAACCCCGGAAACACATTCGAGAGCCACGCAGCACGACCGTGAAAACCTACGCAGTAGTACGGGTGCATTAACAAGCGAGTGGACATGCAGGTCTGCGTTTGCATCGGGGTGTGGGTGCGTGGGTCCTCAACGTGCACATGGCCTGGCACAAGCACCGTGGTGACGTCACCACCACTTAGTGGCGAATGGCGGTTGTTGTTGTTGTGTGGGCAAGGGGCGTACGGGTTGGTAGGCGGGTTGCTGGTAGCCGGGCTGGGTGGGCGGTGGCGGCCCTTGCGGGAAGCCTCCCTGCTGCCCCTGCACTTGCTCCTGTCCGGGCAGTGCCACCCCCATCCCCTGTGACGATCACAACAACGGCAACTGTTCCATTAATCCACGACGACCGCAATTATAATATTAAAAAAAAACCCATTTATGAAGCTTGGGAGTAGCCACTGATTTACACAATGTAAATGGCATACAAAAATAAACAATACTTACATCAACAACCCAGAATACATTCCCCATGGCTAACAGAGCTGATAATTTGCTCTGTAACCCAGCTGTTAAGCCACTCCGTCTGAAAGTCATAATCCCTGGAGATTCATCAGGACAAAGAGACCAGTGTGGGGATCTATCTAATGGCTCGAAGCAAATTAAATTGGAAGTCATGGTAAATAAGCGACTGGCGCACGAGGACAAACAGCTGTGGCAAGAGGTGCGCATGGCAGAAACGAGACGCGGCCCCCAATGGCGTGGAGAGGGCGGCTGCGTGTCTGCACCCACGGTGAAGCCGCCCCCGTCGTACCTGCATGCCGTACGGCGCATAGCCCACCGGGGCCGGCGGGTAGCTCAGCACGCCAGGCGCAGGCGCGGCCGGCAGAGACTGCGGCTGGCTCACCGCCTCCTACAAAAGGCAGTCGCAGAGCTAACCGCGTTTCTCCGCCTCGGTGCGGATGGCTAACGCACGCAATGCTGAGGAACCAAAGATGGTCTCTACTCAAAAGGCGGGCTTACGTGGTCCAATTTAACGGAGGTGGAGTAAGTAAAATGTTTCAGTAAAGATGCGGAATGGCAATTGCTTGCTTTAAGCTGCCGCTGACCCAAGGGCCCTGCACGATGGAGATCTGGAGAATCAATCTAGAAGGTTATTTTGGCCTACTCTTTCAAGCTGGCCAGATGTCTTAAAAAGAAGTTGGAATAGCCACACATTAACCCCACCACACGTGACCTGTCGTACGACTGCGGTGTACCCATTGATGCTGCCGAGCAGACAGAGGGGGGGGCAGTTTAAGAAACTTGGCCCATCAACTGCAATGTCATTAGAACGAACAGTTAATAAAATACAAATATTAAGGAAAGTTATGCTAAAGTGCATCATTATGGCCACTCAAGATGTCACTCCAAACGCAATGACATTACTCGAGGTGTATGTGACCAGACGCCTTACTGTATCCTATTAAAACATTAAATTTTTCTCATTTAGAAAGCTTCAAACTCATGCCGGGACAGAGCCTCGGTACTGCATGACTAAAGTAGTTTCGCTGGCTGCGTCTTCCTCGAGCAAGAGGCAGCAGCGGGTGAGTGGGTGTGCGTGTGCCGCAGGGTGCGCACCTGGTACTGCTGTGGCTGCTGGTAGGGGTAGGGCCCTTGGGGGTTGGGCCCTCCAGGCTGTGGGCCTCCAACTCCCGCCGGGTACATGTACTGCCCTCCGTAGTTTGCATCTGAACACACACACACAACAGAGATCACCCAAAGCCCCCCCCAGTATTACCCGAGTTTAGTTTGTTTAACCAGGTGAGAACTCGAGAGAGCAAGAACGCTGAGAAAAGTCCAATGTACAAGAGTGGCTTGAACAGGCGGTTGGAGCAAATCCTGTTAAAGAGTGCCTATTAAGGCAATCACCACACCTGGCCCCCCTCTGTCTCCCCACTGCTCAACCTCGCTTAGCTTCTAAGATGAAATGAGATCCAAATAGTTGAGTATAAGTGCATAAAAGCTTAATTTATTTTAAAACTCATCAGGGAACGTGCTCGTTTAGCGTGACTTAGCACGCACTACTCTTCCCGACGAGCGCTCGATGAAGCGGAAAAAGTTGCAAGCCCAGCGCTGGCGCACAACCCGGGCCCCCCCACCTGTGGTCTGTGGCTGCGTGGGGTTGAATGGGGCAGGGGCGGTGGTGTAGGGAGGAGCGACGCCGCC